TTTTTGAATTTTCAAGTTGCGCCGGCCGCGAAGCTTTCAGGAGGTGAGATCTCTACTGGCAACGATGAAAAAATGACCGCATCTCCACGTGGTGAATGATGTTGAATCGGGTGAAGCTCTGGTGGTGCTGATGATACTGATTTTATTGTTCACAGGTAGAGCTGATGGTGCTGATTTTTTTTTTTTTATTGCTCATAGGTAGTGCTGACTTCCGGGTTGCCGTTTCGATTTCATTATTACTCCTTTATGGTCGGTGAAATGCAGAGCCATGCATGCAAAGTATAACGCGATTATATACGCATTTGACCGCAGCGCCCCCTCCTGTATATACGTTGAGCGGCTACATGCAATGTGTCATCCATGACATCCTCAGCTCTTGAGTTACTAGCACATCTCATAGCCCCCTACTCGTCCCCCAGTCGTAGAAATCCATTGGGATCTCCCCGCACGGGTTCGAATCCTGTCGACTGCGCAAACATTTTTTTTTTTCTTTTTTTGTGAGCTCGGACGGACGGACGGACGGACGGACAAGAGGCGCTTCGCCCCTAAAAAAATATGCGCACAAAATGAGAGGCGCTATCAAGCGGCTCCGGTGCAGCGTCAGACTTGGCTACTGCGCAACGGAGGCGCACAGCTGGGCACGCGGCGGCGTCAGTGCGTCTGCCGCGGCTATGACGTCACTCCTATGGAATGCGCAGACCGGCGAGGCGCGCGCGGTGGCGACGGAGCGCGCGGCGGCGGCGGCTCCGGCGCGCCAGCTGTGCGCCGTGTGACGTCACTGCTCCTCGCGCTTGCGCAGCACGGCTCTTTGACAGCCACGCGAAACTGTTCAACCTCGGCCAGTGTAGCTGACGCTACAAAATCCCTACCTTTTCCGTACGCGTGTTGGTCACCGCCGGGCAAGCGGACGAGCGATCCGGGCAGCCGCAAAGCGGCTTTCCTGGCGCCAGCGATCGGGATTATTTTATCACAGTTCCACGGTTGAAGGTTTCTTCGCAATAGGTAGCAATCTGTGCTCAGCGGTAGATTGTAGGAACAGTGCCGGGAAAAACTCCTTTTTTACCCTTGTCTTCGTGGGACAAAAAAAAAAAAAAAAAAAAAATTGCTCCACGGCAGCAATGGAGGCCAGCCACGTCAATCTGCTTTTGTGCGAGCTGTGTGCGGAGAACATAGTGTCACATGAAACATTCTCACTTATGCTCGGAATACTTTATAGCCGCCGTGCTGAGTTGAGTATTCTCCTGCAGCTGGAACAGCTTCAAGAGCGGCAAGTGCTAACCCAAGCCGCCTGTGACCACAACATCCGTCCAAAGAGGAGTGCTAATAATATCGAGAATAGTGCACATTCTAGCATTATAGTCGGCATTTGGCGCAGTCACCTTTGTTACTCACAATGCTTCACTGATTTTTTATATTATTTTCATAAACACTACATTTGTTTCGGACATCGAATCTAGCTCGGGCTACTCTCGGAGTTCCACTCACGCGGCCGATCTAGCTGTTGAAGACGGGAAGTGAAACGTCTAAAAAAGGTTCAAGTCTGAGTTTAGACACGACTTTCGACACGCTGCTATTCGTGCCTGGTCAGTGGCGGATTCAAGGGGGGGGGGGGGGCGGTGGGGGCGATCGCCCCCCCCCCCCCCCCCCAAACGCCTCGCCAGGCACCCCCCCCCCCCCCCCCCCTCCCCGGGGGGTTCTTCGTTAGCTCGAAGAAAAAACGTAAGCAATCGACGCGAGGGACAAAGGATTAAAACAGCGGTGGGTGGACGCGCCTGCTGAACGCTTCCAAAGTGGGGTTTATCTCCGTCAAGGTCATGGTACGTCTTCCCGACAGGGACGGCGCCAGGAGTTTCGAAGTGGAGAGACAGTGGGGAGGAGCACCAAATATCAGGCTCCTCGACTGCAGGCACACTTCCAAACAAGGCCACCACGTCGGGCAAGGGGGAAAAAACCTTCAACATATCTATACTCCGCGACAACTTTTCTTGGCAATGCAGTAGAAGGTACGTCCCGCGTCCGCTCTCCCATTTTGAGTGTGCGCGGGCTCTCCTCCTCTCCCCGGAAATGGGGGAGGAGTAGAGCCTGCGTACACTCAAAACGGGAGAGGGAACGCGGGCCTGTACCTTCCACAGCATTGCCAAGAAAAGTCGCGGAGTATAGTCCCCTTTCTCTCCCTCTCTCTCTTTGGAGGTTGTCTGCGAAAAATTTTTGCCCTGAAAGCTCCCAAACGCAGACGCCAAGCAGCCTTCCTCAACGGTCTTCCTCTCTAGCGGCCGCCTTTTCATCACTTTTCGTTTGATGGTTTCTTCGTGGTTCTGGGCTTGTCTTTTGGCATGTCTTTTTTGGCTTGCTTTGAGATGCTGTCGCCCGCGGGCTCACTAAAGGTATCTTATTGGCACGGTGTGCTCATTGCCAAGGGAAGTGCGGAGGGGACGTACCAGGAGGAGACGTTCCAGGTTGGGGGGGGGGGGGGGAGGGGGGGAATGAAGCTTGTACTACCAGGTGACCAATTGCTTTTCTTCTCAACTGAGAGAGGAAGCAAATGCTCTGGGTACAGTGTAATCTGGGTCTGAGCTTCTCCTGAAGACGCTCCGAACTTCCCCACGACCTTGGCTTAAACATAAGCCCGCTTTCGTCCTCGCCTCCATCCCTCACTGAGGATCAGCGCCGCAGCGCGGAATACAGAAAGAAGCCGACGAGCGCCAGAAGGGGGAGATGTTTCCTCTAATGGGCTTCATACTGCCTGCGGTACGACTTCTCGTGGCGGGAAGCTAATAAAAGAAAGATAAACGGTACGAGCACTCTAAAGGCTGGAGGCTGCTTACACGGGGTCCTCAAGCCGACGCCGTAGGCATTTATTTGTATACAATGCCGTTTCAACTTAGGGTGGCGGGACATATTTTAGGCGCCTGCTACCCCTTGTCTCCCCTTGGCGCCGTCTTTACTTTTCGATTTAAACGCTACTTCTGTGGATTGACGGCAGAGCTTTCGCGCGGCTTTGCAGGAGCGAATATGCGTGTGTCGAACGGAACAGAGGCGGGGCTTGCTGGTTTGCAACTGCGGCTTCGAATTCCCTACCTAGGGACTTGGGGAAAACGAGCCCCTTCAAAATTAAATAGACAGTGCCTGTGCCCGTTCGAGTGAACACTGGCTCCCAAACATCCATGCTGCAGTCGTGATCGGCCTTTAGCCCAGTTGAGATTCGCCGACCGCACAACCGCTATGCCCCATCATATCTCTGCACCTGCCCTCTCTACCCTGACGAATGAGCTAACTACCCAGAAACAAGTGTTCCTTTCAAACAGAAAATATCCAGACGAAGTGCAATTGAATATAATTTAGAAGGATCCATTGCTGGTTTAAGGTCTTGTCCAAGTTTAAAAGTTATAGTTGCCGAACTGCAACATGCTTTCAAAAATATTCAACAATTATTCGCTTTCGATCTCTCGAGTTGCATCAGAACACGTGAAAACAAGAGTTTGGGTTGGCAATGCCGCATGTGCTGCGCTCTGGACATTCCAAATACACGGCGAAGAACCGACGAACTTGCTTGGCAGCGTTCGTTTCGCTTGCTGCGTCAACAGTGTTTTGACGCCGCGAGCAGCGTCGAAGCCGCCGGGCCATTTTTGTCGCTTGTTTGCAACGTACTCGCTCCATTGAAGCAACCAGCGACAATGAAAAGTATGTTTTAAAACCACGTTCTGCATTTTGGCACTGAATATAAAGCTCTACCTACTATGCCAAGCTTAATTTTAAAGAACAGCCGAGTTTTAGATTAAAAGTTTTTCGGAATGTCATTAGCTGCACGAGCTTCCTCCGTATAGTTGGCAAAGGTTGGCTCTCCGTACATGCTCTGCGGGTGTAACGAGACTATATAAATATTCAAGCAAAAGGAGCCCGAAAGTTGTAGCCCCGCCGGGGATATCTGAGCCATCAAGTTACACTGTCTGCAATTGTTACAGCCGCTATAGCACCAAACATTCATCCCCAGTAGTTAAACTTCTTGTTCCATTTTTAGCGCGCTGCCACGCGAATGGAGTAATCCCGTTTTCTATGAACTACAATATTCTTTGCGTTATGGTGTTCAGAAAGGATAGTGCCACCACAATTTTCTAGATACTTACCTCTAGCGTGGTCACCCGAAAGGTTTTAATTCAAAAAGTTCATCCCCGACAGGTAGACCGATACAAAAGCTTTCAAGATCTATATTATGTTATCAGAGTTTAGTAAAAACGATAACTCCACAAAAATATAAACACAGCAGCGCGAGCTTTCGTTTCCTTCGAGTGTTTACACGCTCAGTCACTGATTCCCCTATACATCGCACCATATTGAAGGCATTGTCTGGCAAAATTGTCTTTCAGTGAACAACTAAGTTATATTGTCATAGCTTTCAGGAATATCTTCCACACAATATCAAAATTTTTAATCCCTCTCCGCACAAGTAATTCAATATTAAACAGAGCCCAACTGCTTAGATTGCACCCGCAAAGCACACAGCATAATTTTTGTTGGCAACAGCGGAGTCTGACGTAACATTGTGCGAAGAGAGCCACGACAGCTCTTGACTGCCGCCTCAGTAAAACAACCCCATTCTGAGAAAGACAAGATTTCCGTTATTGAGGGAAACCCAGTTCTTCAATGATCTTTGTACGCACCACCAACCATGTTGATCAAAACCGGGAATACGTCCACGCAAGAGACTCTTGACGCTACCATGCCTGGTGCGACGTTACGACACGACCAGCCAAGCATACTTACAAAATTTGGCGTACAGTTAAGTACAGATGTTCATCATTGATTTAACAAATACTGAGACGCCTTTCAATATAATAAATATCACATTTGACTATATTTGTGACCACTCTGCGGCCTGCCCTTCAAAAGTTTGAGAATCACCCCCACATGACAATTTGAGAAAATGATAAAAGAGCACATATGGCAGCATGGTAGGAATGAAAATGCTTACCAAAATTTAAAGAAAAACATGTAACAAGGCATTTATGTTAGTTAATAACTTTATTTTAACTATACAGCTTACAGAAGTTAGACATTGTGGGAAAAAAGAAACAGAGAATGGGAAGGAAAAGTTTAGAACTACCTACATTTATACAGAATGCGTGAAACAACCAATAGACTATCCCAATTGCAAAGGTGGAGAAATACGGTCGACTGGGATTCCTTGTAAGTAACAAAAGAAGAAAAAAACAACAGAGAAGTACAGACTTGCTGCTCATATTTACAGGCATGCTTGACCACAAAGCCATTCTTTGCAAGCACGACGACAGCAGAGCTAAAAGTGTCCCCTCGTTAGAATGCCAGGAGCTAGGAGACTTCCTCAACTACCGTAAAATGCAGAGCAAATGCAGACTCCTCCAGCTTCCTAGATCTTGAAAACTTTAGATATATAAAGTCCCACTTTTGTGGAGCTGCATTTGAAAGCGCAGGTAACCTGCCGGAGTACAAAATTATTCAATGCGAAATATAATTGGCCAATAGTACAGTACTAAGAAATCGCCCTCATCTTTGAATCAGCGGAGTGAGAACAACATAGCACCTCAACTGGGCATTCCATTAGGCCGATGCCAAAATATCACCGTAGTAACAATAATAACCTGCCAATTGAAATACCAATTTCACATGTCGATTGCTGTGCAGGGGAAGTTAACTTATATAGTCCATTTGCTCAATTACATCAAACTTCTTATTTTAAATAAAACCGGATCGTTTTTGCCAACCCCCGACGCGACGGGTGAACTGAGTCAGCCCTCTGGCAACAGCGGTAGGGTCCGCCGCAATTGGTCGGACAGCATGCTGTGGCTGGAGGAATAAGCGCATGTACGGTATCAAACCTTCCCGCTGAGAGTTGAGCCATGCTCCGTATTTCACGGTAATCATCGGTCAAGGTTCTTAGATCCGAGAAAAAAAAAAAGATCCGTAACCAGGCTCCTGAAGAGATTGCGAAGCACAGAAACTTCATGCTTGAGGAGAAGACTACAGGGCACCGTGGGGTGCAGCACTGGTCCAGTTAGGAGAGCAAATCTGGAAAACAACAAAGAGAAAACAACTCGAGCTCAGACAGCTGAACGATTAATAAAAATCACTACCCCCCTCCCTTCCAAACACAAAAGCTTAAAATCCCCATTTTTTGTAACAAGCTTGGAGTACCTGCCAATGAGAGACACGTGGCACACTAGCCAGATTTGGCTACACTGAAATGACTTGAAACGTGACTCCACTTATACTCCATTCACCCTTGAGCTGAGGCTAGAAGCTCTGTCTTCAGCGCAAGCTTTCTACCCTCGCTAAAACAAATGTGAAAGCGCAGGCACGCGCAACCGAAGCACCGCAGAAGCCAGCGAGCTCGCGCTGAAGGCGGAGCTTCTGGTCTCAACCTAAGGGTGAACGGAGTATAGCGACCGACTGGCTTGAAATAATGCACCTTTCCACGATTCAGTGGCACCTAAAATATGCCTAAACATTAGAACACACCGCCTGCGGGGCATTCTGATTCAATGTAAATGTAAAGCAGTATGTGACCAATAAAGCTTGGCACTTGCGGAACCCTTAAGAGTATGCTGTAGCAATGCCAAGTTTATGCCAAACTCGATTTGAGCAGCCCCACTCGTGCATTGACGCTGCTACAGGCACGTAGCCAGGATTTTGTTTTGGGGGGGGGGGGGGCCGCCCATGACAAAATGCTGTATGAGGGGGAGGGGGGAGAGGAGGACCCAGCAAAATGGAAGATGCGGGAAGGGCCAAGCCCCCCCCCCCCCCCCCCCCCGGTTACGTGCCTGCGCTGCTAGTCTGGTGCGCTTCATATCGGTACTAAGCGCCAGATTCGTGCTGAAGTCACACCCGAAATACAAAAGCGTAAAAAGTACTATAGCCAGTGAAACGCTAAGAACCCAGAAGAAGCTCCGCATCCAGCATGCGCTCGTTGCCCACCGCAGGGCCTTGGCTGCGTGTGTGACGAAGCACTATTAAGTGCTTTGTCACACACGCAGCCAAGGCCCTGCAGAAAGCTTGCAATGGAGACATTTCTTGACTTTTTAACCTGTCGGCAGCCAAAACTGAATTTTCATCAAACAGGTTGCTCCTATCGATCCCCAGCTACTAGAGTCTGTTCACACCGTGCGATTCCGCCAAATTCTCTACATGAAACGGAGTTGTCAGCTCAATGGGTAACCTACCGGTAAACTGCATCTCTTGGGTCTTGTTGTTCTTGTTGTCCTCCTCAAACTCAATCAGCTGGTTCGCCGGTACGATGCGGTTGGAGTTGATGTCGCCGGCGTTCCGGAGGTTCTCGACCGAGTGGTTGGCCCCCTCGGGTTTCAGTGGCACCAGCGACGTCAGCGAGTCCAGGCCGAGCAGGTCAGCTACTTTCCCGGGCCTGACGGCAGGAACAAACGCGCAATGCTTTCTTGCAATTGCAACTTGAGTTTAGCATGGTGTACTCTGCATCAACTGTTTTGCACCATGTCGTCAAGGCCAGCATAACTTCCGCAGTACTGTAGCCTCGCACCGCTGCGGGAGCGCACGCAGCGGTGCGCGCTTGCAGAAATAGCTTTGACGGCGTCGGAGAACGACACAAGCTACGCTAGCCTCAACTACGTAACACAAAGTAGTTGACGCTGAGCATAGATTATTAACTTTCTCTTCAAGTCAAACTAACTTTGACAGCTAGCAAAATGGAACACCTAAAAGAAAGGAGACGCGGTCTTTGTGTTGAATAGTAGGCTCATTCGATTTAACTGCGCCTGCTGCACCGGTGCAGAAAAGTGCAGGGCAGTGGATTTTCGGTATGTGTATTGAAATACAACCAGAAGTTCACCACCCTACGCTCTCTGCATGGGTACAGGAGGTGCGGGTAAATCGAACGAGCATATGTCCTCTATCATACCTGCCAAGTTTTACGATTTTATCATAAACTGTTCGCTTTCCAGCGCTTTCTTACGGTTATCGTACTAACAACAATATTTGTACAATTTTCCGCACCCTGTGTGAAAAAAAAAAAAAGTTTTGGTTTAAGCTGCATCTCGCCTGTTTACAAGTTGGGGTTGGCAACACTGGTACATCGACTTGTATACCAGGAGGCGCAAGCTACCGCTCCTCAATGTGAGGCAATTGTCGTGGAGGTCAGTGCTGTAAGGGGTGGTATAGCCGCCAACATCTATCCAACCACCTTAATCCAAAACTGTTAGGAAATCTCCTTTGTTGTGGCGACGTTGTGCGTTGTGTTACTGGAACTTTTACTCATGATCCCTTGAAACCATTTTTGGTACAAGATGTTGGGAAAAAAATACTTGCAAGTGTTTATTCCCAGCTATTCAACCGACTTTCCATTTATGAAGATGTCGCGTAAGGGCGAAAGGTACGGATTTGGTAGTCTGTGTCGCTGCAATGTCAACATTTCGCACGCTGGTCGCCGGGACATTCTGTGTCATCTGAATACAAAAAAGCACAAGGACTCTGCAAAATTAGTTGAAACTAACGAGAAGCTTGGAGGCTACTTTAGTCGATCAACGGATTACGACACTGCCCAAGCAGAATACCTTTTTACGGCATTTTTGATCAAACACAACGTGCCGTTCACAGCGGTTGTTGTACAAGAACTTTGCTCTTTAACGTCTTCGTTAAACCAGGCACAGGCGAAAGAGTTTTCAGCAAAGTGAAGAAGGCACACACGCAGTACCGCTTTTCTATGTCGAAAAAGACTCTTGAACAGTTGTTAGTTGTGAGATGCAGCCAGTCCGGAAAGTGCCATGAACAAGTGTTCGACAGCAACTTCCTAAGAAAAGGAAAAGCTGCAACTTCCTCAGTGTTGGCCCAACCTTCTACTTCTAAAGAATAAGACATTTTGTGCAATGTATGATGTGTTTGTGCCCTAGTTGAGGCATTTTTCTTACCTAAACCAAGTTTTTGAAGAATAAAACAGTTTTCGTATTTCTTCACACAATTGTAGTGCTTCTTGGCATCCCCTGTAGTATTTTCAGCATATGTAGGGTTGGCAGGTCTGCAATATGCTCTTGTCCAAACTTGTGGGGCGAATATGTTCCGATACCCAAAGCTACCATCAAGGTACTTCTCAGTCTCTCGTTCACCTCAAAATTTGCAGACTCCCATTTGTCCATATTCAAGCGTATAAGAGCACAGATTACTAAGGGGAGATTTATTGGCATAGTAGTTCAATTAGAGTGTCTCCTTGTCATTTTCTAGCAAATACACAGTATGTGCGTATACTAGCACTTCATCCAAACTGCTGTAATATCACAATTCAATGACTATGCTTTAGGCAAAATACTGATTTCCTCCAAAAGACCATGCAGACTAAAAGTAACAGAACAAACATGATGCAGTGTTTTTTGTACGTTTCCGAACGGAACCAGTTATGGAGCACAAAGGATGGTGACAAACAAAAGAAGCATTACATAAAAAAATAGTATGAAATGGTCTGGGAGAAGTAAACGGAGAAGGAAGAGGGGATATAGGATACACTAGGAGCAATCTATTCTTAGCAGGAGCACTTTCACGACCCACTACTGTAAGAAAACATACCTGTTTAAATTGCGTCTCCTCCTTTACTTCTTGCACCGCATTACTGTACAAGTTGTTTCTTCTAAGCACGAGCAATAAAAAGAGCTAATATCTCAATTTTGTTTTTATTACTTTTTCATTGACTCCAAATGGGATAACAAAAAGGTAGTGCCTTGCTGTCTGCTCTCACTGCTGCTGAATTCCTTCTTTAAGTATGACTGCAACTGCAAATGAGTCCCATTGAACAGCACAAAACACGAATGAAAAGTGGTTGAAGTGATGACTTCCTATTTGTGTCCCCAGAAACAAGAGACGTCAAGTTTGCCCGCAGAACCAGAAATGAAGGAAGCACAGAAACGCCACCCCCCCCTCCTCCCCCAAAAAAAAAAACACTCACGCCACTCCGTTGACCATGTCGTGGCTGTCGTCGTGGTGGGAGCCGTAGCCGTTGGTGGTGCGGCCCACCTCCTGCGACGCCGCTACCCTCTCCTGCGGAGACTGGTCCATGGGCACTGCCCCGCCGCTCCCGTCCTGACTCCCCCCTCGTAGACTGTCCGCAACCTCCCCAATTTGTTCCCTACCATTCACAGCAGTCTCTGGCGGACCCGCCGCCGACCTCCCTAACACTCCCTCCTCCCCTGACACTTGACGCTGCTGCTGCTGTTCCGTGCTCGGAGCAGCGGCGGGCTTCTCGGCCGGCGCCTCAAGCCCCGCAGGCTCGGAGCATGCGGCAGGCAGAGGCTGCGAGCCTTCCGGCGCTCCGTCCACTTGCTTTCCGGACGCTTGAGGCGAGGACCTGCCGGAGAGCGAGGGAGAGCGGTCCCGCTCGGGGGACGCCTGGGGTCGGGCAGACAAGCCGTTGTTCTCTTCCGACGAGTCGGGACCCTGCGAGTCGCCCGCTCTGCTCGCCGGGGACGCCGGGGATCCGGGCTCCTTGCCGCCCCTCCTCCGCGTCCTGCTCATGATCTCCTCCACCCTCTGAAACGACGAAAACCAAGAAAACGAACTTCTAAACTTCCGTTTCGTCGTAACCTGGCGCCGTTGCTACGGTTGCTTCGAGCTAATCGGAGCAACAAACTAGATAAAGTGGAGTCACTCACATCTCTCAGACGCGCCGAACGGCTCAAAGAGGTCGTATCATTCGCTCTTTGCCAAGTTATAATGAAACAAAGTGTAGCTTGGCACTACTGTACTTCTACTTTTCTTGCTTTTAACCCGAGCAACAGTAGCCAATGTCATACGTGGCTTGCGCATGACGTGGCTCCTACGTGTTCCCACCAAGAAAGGCAAATTCGGTGGTGTGAAATGTATGCTGCAAAAGGTATACGGTCGGCAGCGAGGCCACCACAATGATAGCCGACGCGACATCTGTGCGAGCCATGTACTGGCGAGGAGATCAGACTACAGGAGGTGCTTTATCCAGCTTGCTCTCCACGCAGCTCGGTGTTTACCCAACACGAGGCCAGTGCACTGCGATTCATTACTTCATCGACCTCAATGAAGCACGGGGCACAGAGTGGACGTGGGTGCTACCTCAGCGCTATGCTAGGACTTGCACTCCGTCGGCACCGCATCGAATGAGCGGAAGTTCCCTCCAAACATTGACACGACATTCGGCTATGTCAACCCAGTGCTGCGCCAAAAACAGAAAAAGTACCTAACTTATGATTGTTGCCCACACAGCCCTATCGAACCGTTAGGGACGTGATCGTTCTGCCTCCGGCACTTCCTGCCTGATAATATGCCTTTACATTACTATACTGCCATGACATTTACTGCACCACACGAAGAAACCGGGCTGATTTGTTACAACTCCCGTGACAGTTATTCCCATGACAAAGCAAGGAAGAACTACTATTGAGACATACTTCTAAGAACACAATGACTAACAGCCGGGCATACCGACCTTCTTCCTCTCGGCCCGTTCCGCTTCCTCTCGTTTTAGTCGTTCTTCGAGTTCTTTTCGTTGCTTCTCGGCCTCCTCGCGTGCCTTGCGCTCCTGCTCTTCTCGTTCCGCTTTCTGCAATGCACAAAAGAGAGCACGAAATGAAGACGCGAGCCTTGAGATAGCAGCACGAGGCCCTTTACACACAACGCAAGACATCTTGACCCGAGTCATCTGAGGTCTACTTATCTTGTAAAGAATTGAGCAAGTGAGAACATGTTTTTTTTTTTAATGGTATGGCGCCAGGAGCGAGTTTTCAACCAGGGCCTTATGCGACACGGCATGATTAGGCGGGACTGGGACAATGCCATCTGCTGCGATTGGTCAGTGCCGCGCCTCTGACCAAACAAAGCAGACTGTGTTGTCCCGGTCCTATGGCCCCGCTTGGTCCCACCGTGTAGCATAGGGCCCCAGATTGAGACGTGTTCCGGGCACTGTATTGATGGATATCGTCACTCTCTTACTTGATGGCCACAATTGAGAGAGTAGGGTTGTAAGGGCTGTCAATGTGATTGTATGCGAGACTGATTGATTGTATGCTAATGTGATTGTATGTGTGTATGTGATAATGAAAAGTCCTAGCTGTTTAATACCTTTGGAGTGAAATCTGCCACATTTTCTCTAGTAATAGCCACACTGTTTATGAGCGAGGCTCATGTGTCTAATTTCTCAGCGCTCTCATACAATGTATAATTGCATTTTAGGTAATAAACATGGCAAATAACCAAAAAAATACATTCACTTAATCTTTAATTAAATACATCAAGTACAGTGTTAAATGAAAATACTAGCATGTTTGCACAAGGACATCATCTCTTCGATGTCATTTGCTAATCTCCTTTTGTCAATTACAGTATAGACCACTTATAACGTAACTGCTTATAGTGCAGGACCAGATATAGCGTGGCTTTTTTCAACCACTGGTCCGCCTCCCATACAACTCCATGTAATTACATACCGCTTAAAATGCAGGCGCATGAAGGGATATACCGGTTATAGTGCGGTTTCTGGAACAGCCCGCCGACCGACCAGCACAGCAAGCACGCCCTTCCCTGTACGACACCAAATAACGGCGCAAGCGGCACTCGCGGGGGCAAGGATGGCAAGGAGGTTGCGCGGAAGAAGTGAGGAGAAGCAAAGAGAGAGGCAAAAAATGAATGACGCAGCGAGTTACAACGCAGCGAGATAGCAAGGTGCGACAGACGCACGCACGTGCCCAACTCCGAAAGCCTCAACGAGCCACCCGACCCCAAGCCTTTAGCCCTTTCGATTTCACCCCCCGCTCGAGTGATGGAACCCCAACCTCCTTTCTTACACCGCATGCAGAACAAAGGCTGGATAGCTGGATAGTTTCTAGTTTCGCTTCTTGCAGCTTGCTCCACGTCTGTTTGGACCGCGTGTGGACCGCATCAGTCGTACTGTGTGGAAATTGACCATCCATCCCAATCTGTCCCTGTCTCCCAAGCCCAAGATGGCCAAGAAACGACAAGCCCTGTCTCTCGAAACTAAATAGTGCATCGTCAAAGATGTCAAGAGTGGCATGAAAAAAGCTTCTGTCGCGGCAAAGTACAACGTCGCTGACACAACGGTTTTTACTGTCTGGAAGAACCAGGAGCGGGTACGGAAGAAGCTGCAGCAAGATTCTGCATCGCTCTCAAGAAAGAGGATTCGTACGTCAAAGTATGAGTACATCGACGAAGCCTTGTTTAGGTGGTTTCGCGAAGTGCAAGCCAAGAACGTACCAGTGAGTGGCCCGACGCTACAAGCGAAGGCTAGTTCCTTTGAACATTTGTTCGAACATGAGGGCTTCAACCCCCTCAACGAATGGATCCAGCGATTTAAGGGCCGCCACAAGATTAGCTGCAAAGTTATCCTTGGGTGAAAGGGGAGAAGTCGACGACACCAGCATCCAGGTGTGGTTTCGCATTCATCTCGAGACGATGCTTTCCGCGTACACGTACAAAGACATCTAAATTGCTGATGAAGCTGGTCTGCGCTACAACATGCTTCCCGATCACACTCTCGCGATGAGAGGTGAACCCTCTTCCGGCCACAAAGTCTCAAAGGAACACGTCACGGTTTTGTTTTGTGCAAACAAGGACGGCTCCGACAAGCGGCGCTTGTTTGTCATCGGGAAATCAAAATGACCCCGTTGCTTCAAGAGGTGAGAATGTCTGCCTGTGGTGTACACAGCAAATGGAAAGGCCTGGATGACCCAACAGTTCTTTGCAGGCACGTAGCCAGGATTTTGTTTCGAGGGGAGGTGGGGGGGGGGGGGTGCCATGACATAATGCTGTATGAGGGGGAGGGGGGAGAGGAGGTACCAGCAAAATGGAAGATTTCGAGGAGGGCCCAGGCCCCATGGGCTCCCCCCCTGCCTATGTTTGACTGAAAAGTTTCGATGAGGCCATGGTCATGGAAAAACGGCGCGTCATTCTTATTTTGGACAACTGCAGCGCTCACAATGTGCAGCCGCAATTAAGCGCAGTCAGTTTCAAATTCCTGCAGGCAAACACCACTCAGCGTCTCGATCAGGGCATCATCGCTACACTCAAGGCGCTCTACAAGAAGCACATGTGCGAAAGAGTATGGTAGTCTTGAAATTGCAACGAGAGGAACCTATCCAGGTGGACTTGAGGGGCGCCATCGACATGATCACCGCGTCGTGGTGGTAAGTAAAAGCCGCAACCATCCAGAAGTGTTTTCGCAACGCAGGGTTTGTGAGCGATGCCGGGAATTCAGAGGACGCTGATTAGCGCAATGATGCGATTGACGAGGCGATCGGTGTGAACGACGTGTGAAACCTTATGAAACCTACCTGAAACCTACCTTATGAAAAACCACTTTGTTCCTGCAAACGACACGTTTAATAACTACATAGATGAGGATTACAATGACTCTGTTATCCGTGAGGAAGCAACCACCGATGACGCTATTGTTCTGGGGCGAGTCCACCCGAAGATGAGTCGGACGACGACAAAGAAAGCACGCCGGAAGCTTAAATTAAAAACACATTTTACAGATTTTACAGAATTTACAGGAACAGAAGGTTCACTATCAGCAGAACTCCTTCAGTGATGAGGTGTTCAAATGCCTTAGAGTTATTGAAGACCAGGTCGTCCAAAACGCCATTAAAAGGCGGCACCAGGCAAAAATCACCAATTTCTTTCAAAATGTGTGACATGCTTGAGAGAGAAGTGTACTAGTCTATTGAAATAAGAATTTTCCTCAGGCTGAGCTTTATTTTTCATCCAACGTAAAATAAATTGTTTTACAAAGGTAAGTTGTCTCATGGCATGTATCCTGACCTGAAAAATTGATGTTTGCGGATTTGCGGTTTTGGTTATAGTGCGTACTGCACTATAACCAAAACATCAATTTATAGTGCGGATTTTTGCGACTCCCGTGACATACGTTATATACGGTCTACACTGCACAATAACTGACTGGTGACAAGTCTGGTGACAAGTATGCATGCAGAGTTTGTGCGTAAGCAGCACAGCTATCACTCGAGTAATCCTAGTATGTTAAACAACTCCTTCCGAGAGGTGCCAGTGAGCATACAGCGATTACAAAACTATCACATCAAAACCAAATTGAATGTTTCCTTTTGATAGAAAGCTCAGTGGGCGGAGTCTCGACACTTTCAGACAAGCGTGTTCCTTGAGCCGAGTAAAAGTGGCAAGTCAGCCTCCTAAAGCATTCTCGGTACGTAGGCATATCTTCAACAAGATGTTTGTAAAGCCATCAGCACGACTCGTGGCTTCTAGAAATGCGGAATGGTCACCAGGCAGACCCAACCTGTCTCGGCCCCTAGCTAAGGGAGGCCGACACTTACAGCTGATTCATAAATTTGGGTTAAAGTGGGTCCGACTGTGTTACGAGCACATATGATTGCTTGTGAGGAGATGGTTGCTACGGCAACCAAGTACTACAGCTATCAGTCTAACTAAAACGCAAATGTCTGAACCGGCCTTTATAAACCGTAAAGGCAGAAATAACGCCACCCACTTGCTGGGCTTCGAGCTCCCTGCGCTGCCTCTCCTCAGCCTCCCTCTTCTCCTGCTCTTCGATGGCCCTGCGCAGCTTCTCCTCCTCCTGGCGGCGGAACTCTGCTGCCAGACGGATCTGCTCCTCTTCAAACCGACGCTGCTCTTCCTCTTCCAGGCGCAGGCGTTCCTCCTCCTGCCGTCTGCAATGGCCGACAAACCCAGACATTTAGTACGACCGCGGACCAAGTCTCACCGCACTATGCGCACGTAGCTGCGGGCTGTTTCATACACCCATCACATGCGCTACAATGAAGAGGGAAACTGTGCACTGTATTATGCCCCCTTGGCAAATGGCGAAGAGTAGGAACATAATGTCACATATTTGGATGGCACAGATGATGTGCAGCCGCTAGTACCATTAAAGTAGCTCACGGGGCCTTGAGCTCATGCTCCTGACAACATGTAAACAGTGTGAATTACCTTATCTTTACCAGAGGTTGCGAATGAGAAAGAATTGTCCCATGGCACGTAGAAGACAGTCGACAAATAAAAGCACTAGCCCAGATGAAAGCCAACCGGGGCAACAATCGCCAACCGGCTAGAGAAACAGTGCCTCCTCCTGGTCACTCCTCGAAGCTCCCGCAAGAGTAGATACAAAAATGAAGTGATGACTTGTTTCTGTAAAGGTTCATATTCACTGTGCAATGGACCGTGATGGGGTAATCCTCCACAAAAAATCCTACTCTTGTGGGAGTTTTTGAATTTTGACTTGAAACAGTATTGACTACCTTAGCCAGTTGCTGTTCATTTTCTAGTTATCTACACACGAAAGTCTCATCTGTCCAAACACGTCCAGCAGTTCAAATAACAAGTCCAAGGAATGCTCCAATGCAGTAGTAATCAAATTAAAATATTAATGTGTGACAAATCAGTCCATATACCACGTAGGTTATATTAAAAAACACCACAAAAAGAAAGCTTCCTGAGATTGCTATTATGTTCCACTAGAACAGGAAGCTTACATTACACTGGAAAACACTGCCACAATATCATGAAAGATAGCCTGATCCCCTTTACAAGGTGGCAAACCAGAGAAAATTAGGGATAAGCTAGTTTTTGGTGTACAAGGCAAGAGCAGTGGAAAAATTGTTCGACTTGGCACCTCACCCATTACAGCAGTGGTTCTCAAACTTTTGGCCGTTGCTCAGAGGCCGTTCTGGGACCTCAAATGCATTCTGCATCAGAGTTCTTGCGCAATGGCATAGAAGAGCTTCTTTTTTTTTTTTTACGGAATACTTTTGGCTTGGCACAGGCCCCCGCGAGCACTCTTAAGGACTACTGGGGGTCCGCAGACCAGTTTGAAAATCGCTGCAGTACAGAGTACATTGTTTTTCATAAACCAAAATACAAGTAAACATCAAAGAAAGTACTTTGTTTCTCATAAACCAAAATACAAATAAACATCAAAGAAAGTGCTTTGTTTAAAATATTAAGGCGGGATAGTTGGACCCGGTTTAGTTCTACAGTCGACTCTTCGAACTCCAGAAAGCCATTAACTTTAGTTTGAAATATCAGAAGTTTTAATTAAGTAGCGATTTGCTACATTAATAGCTACACATGCCAAGCAGATTTTTTACCCTTTATTCTACACAGGCCTATTTATAAGCAGGCACAAACATAAAGCATAAGTGAAGTTCAATGCAAATAGAGGTTTTGGCTGGATATTTTCTAATTGAATATAGAATAGTTTCTCAAAAATGTTCACTACCGTTGTATCATGCTTAAACAAAAATCCAACTGAACTCGTGAGTGTTGTTCCCAACCTTCCACTTGTCCACTTCTAAGCTCAGTTAGTTCTAATGTAACTACGGTATATCTATGAACCGTGGCTTCAGAAAGGCCAATGCCTCCAGCGCGGTGGCAGGTAAATAACAGAACTGACATACAATTAAACCTAAAGAGGCGCCCAGCTATCCCAACCAAGGGAATTTATAAATCTGCTTGCTCTATGCCAGGGGTGGCCAAACCGCGGCTCGCGAGCCGCATGCGGCTCTTTGTTGGTCCAAATGCGGCTCGCGGATCCCTCGTAAGGGGACCCTTTTTTGCCCCTTTCCGCGTTTCCCCAGGAAAAAAAAAAAAGAAAAAAGGATTTCAGAATAAAGCACACTGCAGCTTGCAGTTTGACAGCATTGTACTCCCATACGTACAGTCGTACAGCCTTGTGCCCCCATACGTACCGTCAGACTCTAAACAAAAGTTAAATTTGCCCCCCCCCCCCCCCCCCCCCCCCCCGCCCCGCGGCTCTTAGAAGTTCCGTGGTTTTGTCTGCGGCTCTTAGGCCAGGCCAGCCTGGCCACCCCTGCTCTATGCAAATATTCTTTCTTTAATGTCGAATTTAGCCTCCTCAGCAAAATACAAAAAAACAGGAATGAATAATGAAAGCACATTGTCAGGACAGTTGTACTTGCACAATCGCGGTGCCCATCGAGTGCGCTTTGTGTACTGTGGAAAAGCAATTACCGCGAACCGGGGCTAATCCACCGCAAGGAACAAATAGTATACAAGCGAACAAGTTGCTTGAATTAAGCAGCTTATAACTACATAGGAAACATAGTAGGGCAACCAAAATTTTAAAATTCGTATGAATTAACCGAAAGTATGGAATATCCGAGTTTGAATTATCGCGAGTCCACTGTACTCGTCTTCAAAGCATCAAGAGGCACCGCTATCATTTGTGAAAACTTGAATAGCCTATCCTGTTGCCCAAATCGCCTGGCAATAGGTAACCCGGGCAACACACGTGCAGCATTAGGCAGGCTTTAATGGCTCTTAGCGTTGGTGCTGGTCCATGGTAAGGTAAAACGGAGCCTGCCAGGTTATGGCAACATTTTACAACGAATTCGCAAGGTGCCATACCTAGTTGCATGAGTCGGCATGTGATAAAAGGTAAATAAAACGGTGCAAAACAGACTCAGGACTAACAGCAGAGTGTTGTGTCTGTATTTTTTCTACCTGCCCCTCCCTCCCTCCCTCCCTCCCTCCCTCCCTCCCTCCCTCCCTCCCTCCCTCCCCCTCCCCTCCCCCCCGTCTTTCTTGCACCGCTTTATTTTCATTCTTTTTTTCGTACGACGTGCTAGATCAGATATGCTGTGGAGCACGACATTCCCGAGACCGACCTGAGCTCCTCCTGCCTCTGGCGCTCCAGTTCCGCCTCCCTCTCGGCCTGCTCCCTGGCCAGGCGCCGCTTCTCGGCCAGCAGGGCCCGAGCCTCCTCCTCCGAGATGACCCGTGAGGGCGCCTTGGCCGGCCCTTCCTCTGCCCTGGCCTCCGAGGATGGCTCCCCTTCTTTGACCTGGCTCGGCTGCTTGGGGCAGGGCTCCGCCGACGGTTCCTGCGGGCGGCACCGGTCCCGTTTGGCGCTCCGTCCAGTCTCCCGTTAAAGGGACACTAAAGTGGATCCCGAGCTGCGTCTTTTTGTGGCACAGGCTCTATCCTCGCATCCTAAAGGCACACACTTGCGTTTGCTTGGGACTGAGTTCTTGTACCAAACATGAGGTGGGCCTGAGACTGGTACATGCATGAAATGCACGTACTAGTATAAAAAAAAATTTGAAAATTTACAATAGTTGCAATTGTTCCACGGCTACGCGATAAATTCTGCCAGTCCGCTCCCTCGTCGCGAGAGATTTTAATTAAGATGTTTTTGGGTGCACGGTCTCAAGCAATCGCAAGTGTGTGAACCAGTCTTAGGCGTTCTTGAAAACTCTAATTACAACTGTGCATGGTCCTTTTCCCCGTTAAAAACACGGCAAAACCTTGCGAGTCGCCGATATTTTGTTTTGACTGCTGGGCCCTTACGGTTTGCTCCTGCAAAAATCTAGGCATGCAGAAATGCCTTGTGAGAGGCCCTTTAGCAATCCTAATTACCTATTACGTGCAGCAGAGGTATAACGGACAATGATAGGCAAGCTCTAGTCTAAGCAACGCCTCAGCTAAGTTTCGGCACTGAAAGACTCACCCGCTCTGGCTTGGTGGTCACCTCCTTGAAAACAACGCTCTCAACAGCCACCTGGGCCGGTCGCGCGGGTTCAGCCACCGGACCAACTGGAGCTTCCGGAGTGGGAACAGCAGCCGCAGCAGTTGGAACCGCCGGGAAGACTGGGGCAGCCGGGGCGACTGGAGCAACGGCCGGAGCAGTCGGAGCAACAGTTGGAGCGACTGTGGCAGTCGGGACGGGTGCGTCGGATTGGATGGCTGAAGCAGTCGCAGGGACTGCAGCATCCTTCTTCACGGGAGCGCTTGGCTCGACGACAGCTGTTGGCACGGTGGGTGCAACCAGAGCGACGGGAATGGGAGGGGCGGTGGGGGCCGGGGAGGGGCTGGCCTCCTTGGTGTCCTTGGGTGCTCTGGCTGGCGGGACGGGGGCCCTCTGTTCCCTCCGCAAAGGCGACGAAGCCGGGGGCTGGGGCTTGTGGGGCTTGCGAAGGTGGGCGGGCTTGGGGGGAACCTCGGGGGGAAGCATCTGCTCCGCACCGGACGCCCTGGCACGCACATTCTTCTCGGACAACGTGGGAGCTGGACGGGATAAAACGCACGGCAACTTTGCAGACCCCAAAAAGTCTGTTGTCTGTCTGCACTTGGGTGTGCACTAACAAGCCAGTTTTGCACGCAGTCTGGCTTACATTTGACCTTGGCAAAAGGCTGTCCAGGTAAAAGTCTATATCAAACTTTATTTGTCACAGCATTGTGGCAGAGTCGGATGCAAGAAGCTTTTCTGCACCCACTTGGCCACTGTGTCGCTGATTGTGAAGTCTAATGCACGATGGCAATGTTTGGCAATGGTAAATTATAAACACCGCGTGACTGGTGGTGCTAACATTTTCGGGCCTTTCTGTCACTGTCAGTGACTGAAAGAAGCTTCGCTTCCATTTATAAATTTTTTTTCCCCCTTTATCTGGCTTCTTGTTCCGTTACCAGTTTCCCGCGGTTGTGAGACACCACCGGTTGGGCAGGCTATTATACAATCACTCGAGGATCCCGCAACCTACCGTAAAATACCGCACATCCGCCCATTCCACACTAAGCACCCATTCCAAAATCTCCAAGATCTCAGAAAATAGGCACAGTACATTTATATGTAAAATTGATAACTGGACAAGTGCCCATCCCCCATTTTTTTTGTGATTATCTCAAAATTTTCACTGGGCACTTGTGTGGTATTTTACGGTAGTTTTAAAAAAAATCCCTGATTATTTATTTACTTAGAACGCACTGCCGCTTCAAGGCTAAATTAGGAGGATGCTTGGGTTCTGCAGCACAAGTCTTAGCTCCACGTGTTCCGAGCAGAGGTGCGCCCACACTTGGCCACCAATCTTCCCTTTATCGGAGCCAAGCATACACTTCAATTTCTACATCTGCACAGCCACACAAAGTCGTCCTCGAGTACCATATTTTCCAGTGTATACACCTTTCCAAAAAAACGCTTCTAGGCCTCCGCCATGTTGCTGATGCTGATGCAGCTGGTGCGACCTCTCGCACCCTCTATCAGCTAGAAATTTTTTGCCACTCTCTGGAACTGTGAAGACCCGCTCAGCGCGGTTCTCTACATAAGTTTTTGCGGTTTTGCATTCAACGTTTTCTCGCCCCTCTTGAAAGTTTCCACTTAATTTTTTTTATGCGTGCTGTGTACCTTTTCTGTGTTACCTTCCATTGTGAGAAAAAATGCTGGTAAGTGCCTGCCATTCAAGCTTTTCTGCTCGACATTCACGGGAAACGAAGGAGGTGAAGGACGTCGAACGACCCTCGACGCGATTTTGCCAACATTGTTCTCCCCCCTCCCAGAGATAATCCATGTAGAATCCTCAGTCATCTCCAAAAATAGTTGTCCGCGTTGGGGTGAGAAGCGGGTCAGTCGCGTTTGTATCTTTGCCTGGTTGTGAAAAAAGGAAGCTCTCCCCAAAACGTGCCCCAAAACGAAGTCATCTCGGATTCCATCCAATCGTCAAGATGTGACTGTCGTCGACTGTGACTGTGTTATTTGAGATCTTTCTCAAATAAATTATTTTCGGATAACGCTGCATCGTGTGGTATGTACGATATATTGTTTGAATGTTAACGCTTCCTCAATTGTATGTCCGTGTCCTGTCCATCGGTAAACACGTTATTTGTGAGCGTGAAAAATGCATGCCTTTCGGCCCTTTTCTGTTGCAATTTATTTTTGTCAGCAAAGCGCTTTGTCGTTTCACATGTGGCGAATCCCGCGGCGCCGTCAAAACTTATCGCAAGAAAAAACAAATAACTAGAACTATACATTCCAGTCGCATTCGTTTTGTCGCGCGCGTACCCAACAAAATTATTATTTTTTTTTTTTTTTTAATGTGGCACAATGCTTTCTCAATGTCCTCGGGGAAATACATGACCCATGAAACACAAAATATAGCGGGAAAAGACGAGAATTTAGCCGCCAGCAACGTTTGAAACTGCACCTATTGAAATCACAGTCCACTCTGTTAGGGTTAGGAGGGACGTTGGTGAGAGTCTAGCCTCAAACTCAGTAACTGGGCTCGAAAGCGGTTTGTTGCCCCTGGGGTCGAGTGTTTTTTGGAAAGGTGTATAGTCCGTGGACTATACATGTTCAAGAAATAATATTTTATGCTGCGCGGATGGGTGCAAACTAAATACATCATTTTTTTTTTTCTAAGTGTTCACATTTGATGTTTTGCGGATTATACACAACCTAAATGTTGATATTGTATGCCGTGCGGACTATACACAATGTCATTGGATGCGGGCTTTCGTTTTCTGTATCAACAAATTAAAGAAACAAGGTCACAGAAAACAAATTTCAGCCGAAATTGGTGCCTGCAGATTACCGTAATATCCAGGGTCATTGCCCACCCCCTGCCACCTGAAATTCATAAAAAAAAAGTGGAGTAGGCCATCTCTCCGAGGATAAACACAAAAAATTAAAAAAAAAAAAGCAAAAAAAAAAAAAAAAAAACGCCAATTTTTTTTGTACATATTTAGTGCAACTGCACAAGAGATGCATAAGCTCAAAATTCGAATTACTAGTTTTGCCTAACACAAGAAATGCTCATGAAAGTATGTTACTCGAATTAGTTTTATTGTCTCATACAAGAAATGCTCATGAAAGTATGTTTCACTATCGCAAAGTCCATTGCTTGCATACGCACGATGAACTGTGAAAGCATGTTTCTAACGCCATGTTCTCTTCCCTAGCTAAAAAAAAAAAAAAAAAAGTCAACAAGAAAATAGAAAAACCAACCAGGGGCAAGGAGTGAGCGAGCAAGTGACAAAATAAGCGACGAAGAGCGATGCTGGTGAAGCAGGAAAGCCCGCGATCACATTGGCAAATACTTTGGCGTCGGGCCAAGTTAGGCACCTTGTCAACCACAAAGAGCAGGCTACTGTGAAACTTTCTTGTTTGGTGCATACATGCGTGTATCCATACACGGGTGCTATGCTATCAGCACAGGTCGAGGTGGCATTGCTGCGTGGCGGACGGCACCACAAACACAGAGCCCGAAATGGGACGCTTTGTGCGGTGTTCCAGCAAATCTTTATTTACCTGTCGGCTTTGCCTCAAACATTGCACAAACTTACTAACCTCAGTCATGACATTCCGGGAGAAGGAGCGGGTTCGCGGTGACCTTATTTCAGTGAAAACAGACTTAAATGTTTGACCTTGCACTCCGCCGTTACCATCCAGGGTATGCGACGTTCGCTGACCTCGTGATCCCTGAATGGGTTACTGTTTGTGTTATCATTCTGACTTTTCTTCTTTTTCCTTTGTCCAAACAAACTTTTTTGTAAGCAAACAGTTTCATTTTGTTACCTTCATCGTTTTCCTTTCGCAAGCATGTTCTCTTACTTCAGGGTTGCAGAAATCGAGGAGAAATGCGTAAACAAAATGAAGTGTTTTTCCCTCCTTTGTTTTACTTTGTCCCGGACGTCCTCTAACCGTAAGGTCCGCGACCATGTCATTCGGGTAGGATGAATGTTCGCACACAAGATGCAAAGCATCCAAGGAAAATCTTTTTTTCTTCTTTCTTTCTTTCAGCTGAAATTGGCCTTTTGCAGACTATACACCGGGTGCAGACCCAGAAAATACAGTACACAAGAACCCACCTGGCCTGTCCGGCGGGCGGCTCTGGCGTGACTGCAGGGCCTTGTCTGGAATGGTGCCCGCAATGCTGAGGGGTCGGGGCTTGCGGGGGGGTGCCCTGGGGCGCAGCACCACGGACGCCGACATCTGGCTCGAGGCCATCGAGTGCTCGGAGGCCACTGACAGGGACGACCTGGGCCGCGAGGGGGACTGCTGCTGCTGCTGCTGCTCCTTGCCGCCGGCTGCGTCAGAAAGTGATACACATGCAGCCGCTCTCACGGCTAACTGTTTCCAAAGGCTGGTTCGCGCGCTTGCGACTCCTATGGCCGAGTGCCTCGCAATCTCTTCCGTTTTCTTACGATGAGAGGACGTGCCAGTGTCCTCTGTCGAGTGGCCGTAGAACCCTCGTAATTTACGCACGTCCCGTTTTTCTTGCGCATCATTCTTTCTTTATTGGCTCGGAAGACTTTTGACAACGTTATAAATTACTATTTCTGATAGATAGTATGCACGTTTCATCTCGCAGATACTGCAAAACCTTTGCTCCACTGACGTATAGTTCCACGGCCACCTGATAGATGGTGCCAGCGTGTTCTCTCATCGCAAGAGATTACAAGAACTCGGTTGTAAGCAGATGCAAGTGCATAAAGCAGTAACTTATGAGTAGGGGTGTCGCAAACTTTTGCGGAACCAGATTTTTTGGTCGAACTTTTGAGGTTCGACTGGGTCGAACCGGTTCGACGAACCTTCAAACTTTTCACCAGATTCGACCGGTTCGACTTTGTGGACAGTGTGGCCAGACCTTGATACAAGCATGTCTAGGTTTGGAAAACAATTTTTTTTTATGCAAGGGGTTATTCTATATTGTGAACACATGCAATTAAAATAAACTAATTCTAATCAATGAAGAAGTTAAATAACTTTACTTTTAGTACGGTATTAACTGAAATAGCCAATCAGTGCTGCACTTAATTCATCTCTTAGCCATTATCATCCAATCCGAAGCCAACTGGCCAGCCTGTCGCGCATGCGCACACGAGTCGAACCTCAATAGAAGGTTCGTTGAACTTTCCACTAAAAGTTTGAAAAAGTCGAACCTGGTCGAACTCGAACCGCGGCCGGTTCGCGACACCCCTACTTATGAGTAACTCTTCAGAAATATATCTAAAGGGCAAGCATTGTATTACTTAAAGAAATACTGAACTCCTAAAAATACTTTTTTTAAGGGGCTGAGCTAAGTTACAAAATGAATGAAAAAAAAATAAATTTTGTGCAGTATTTAATTTGCGAGATTCATTTGAATGATTACTCAAGAGGCTTCTACTTCTACCCCGTGATGTAAATATTGCACTACAAACTTTTTCTTTTTTTCTTAGGGTCCTGTCTAGAACATAACCATAGCTTAAGAATGCAATTTTTAACTGATATGATTGCTGCATATCCTACAAATGACTGCATACATTCCTAGCTTAATATGCTCGTGCTTGAACTCCTGCGCTTACACACAGACTTAAATGCCACCTTTGAAAATGCTTGGCTACCACCCTCACCCAAAGAGAGTACAAGAAGACGATTAAGCTCTCAATGCTTTATGCCCTAGTTACATGGGCGCTTTGAACTGTCATTGAGTTCAATCACAAATACTGTGATTGAACTGAACTGAACTGAGATGGTGCTACACGGCTCTCTAGAACCCAGTTGAAGCTAAAACGAAACTAGTTCTTGTGTCACGGGATCAGTCTAATTGTTAAAGTAATTTACTCAGAGGAACATATTTTATTTATTATAAGTATATCATACATTATGTTCAATTCTTTGTTGCTTTTAGCGGCATTTACATGAGTACCAAAGCAGATTCAGGGCTAAGTTGCGCACATTTCAGGCTAGGTGGAGCAAGCTACCGCCCGCTACGAAGGGTGCACCTATTACTATTTGTCCATTCACACAGCTGGTCCCGCTGCCATCTTCGTTCGTTTGGTGGCTTGCCGGCTAGCCGGGATCATTTTAGCGGCAGCTCGGATGCCTAAATTTATTCCTTTCCGAATATTTTGCTGCTACGATTATTTTTAGACGCCTCCCCCTGCATTCCGAAGCAGTAAGTGCCTTGCTAACAATAATTGGCGGCAGCGGTCCTGCGGACAGGTGCCATTTTACCTCTGTTGGGGAAGTCCGTTCAGTTAAACTGAGGTAGGGGAGCTCAGTTGAACTCAACTGTCACTAGAGGCTCGACGACAGTTGGCGCCGCTGTGTAACTCCGGCCGATCGCGATTCAGTTAACTGTCGTTGACTCAATGGCAGTTGAAAGCGCCCGTGTAACTAGGGTATAAGACTCCTTGTCACTCTAGGTATGACAAGCCTGCTCTCCAAAACCTTTCTGACAGAACAGTGTGAAGGCCCATTCCCATAGCAGTGTTCAACAGTGTTATACAACATTACATTGAGATATGACTGAATTACTGGTACGTCCATGCCCCGTACGCAGCACGCCAACCTGCTCTTTGAATTAGATGTCACGTAGCATGAAAAGCACAGCGTAGCTGAAAAGCACAGAAGTTTTGTAACCCTTAGTCATATCTCGAATGCAAATCCCCACAATGTAGTGAAAAAAAAGTCAAACGCTGTGCAAATGGGCCTTGAGCCTGATGATCCAGGAGGGAAGTACATGAAAGGGAGAGTATAGGAAGAATTAAGAAGCAGCAGTGAAGGAAGAGTTGAAAAAAGGCATCACTAACAGCTGTGAGGCGGCACGACTGATTGCAGAAAGTGGTGTAGTTAAAAGGTGCAAAAGATCACCAGTGCAAGAAAGAACCCCACAGCCCAAGTGAAAGAAGAACATGCACAAGAAAGCTTTCTGGCAATAGGGGCCCTCCTTCCAGGCCTTGCCAAATTTAAATGTACACAGTCTTTGACCAAGCACAGGACTGTTACAGGCAGAGCAAGGCAGTGTTGGCTCAGGGACAGTGTGATCACCCATGCACTCGTGAGAAGTGTTAGATCAACAAAACCGCATACTTACAACTGCTTGAAATTCTCCACCACCTAGGTCAAAGTACCAGGCAAAAAGCAAGCAAGGAAAGCCAGATGCTGAAGCCACAAAGCTGGAATTCAGCACTGGCACAGAGGAAGAGAGAGACTTACAGGCTCGTAACCTCAAAAGGTGTCAGCTCCTACTTGCGGAAGCAAAATGCCCACAGCAGGACCTCATAGATATAAAACCTTCCTCGATATAAATCAATATAAGAAAGAAAAGAAGAAAAAGTGAAAAGTCTCGGTTTTAATCCCGTTCTTCTTCATAGCCTATCCTTCTTTCTTCATAGCCTATCAGGCCAGCAGTACGAGGGACAACACATCCGAGCGCGGCAAGTACTGTAGCAAATCTCTGAAGCACAATGGGCCCAAGCGCTCGAAGAGGGGCTGCTTTACATATGCAGGTATCCTAGCCATTTTGGCAGAAGCAACAGGCTACCCACATGCTGATGCTTCCCCCCATTCAAGCACATTCAAAGCACAACATTTCTTGACAGTACGAGTTGCTCACTGGACAGCACCATATGGCTCGAATGGGCAAGAAGGTAGGCTGGAACATAGATCTACGATGCTAATCGTTACATTCCCCGCCACCCTTCCCCGAGTGTGGCACAGGGCACCGGACAAACCTTAACGTCAAGTTTCCAGCAGTTCTCAAAGCAACAGAAGTTTGCCGTTTTGGATAGCTGCACCTTATTACACGGGTCAGTACCTGCAGAGCTCTAAACCTAGCGAGCACCAGCTCGCAACAACCGATACTGTCAAAAAGTGTTTACCCAGAGTCAAGCGAGATGAGTTTTTCAGAGTGTCAAATTACATCTATATTTTAGACTCGCACGATAGCTGTTCACTTCATGCTTACTACAGTACAGAATTCTCCCTCACTTGGGCAGGCTGATAGATCACCGAGTCAATTTTGCTCCGCGAGAACTGTATGGTTTTTGCAAGAATGCCCAATTTGCGCCAACCTGTCTTGCTCGCTCCACGTTCTACAACACGAGGAGGCCAATCTGTGTGGCATGTGGACGATCGGACGGCGGAAAGTCTGTCAACCGCCGAAATGCAGCTACTTGTCTCTGTGCAGTGGTCTAGACGAGAAATTTGGCCAGTACAGGAGGGAAAAAGGAACAAACGAAACGATAGAGACAGCGAGTCGAAACACTCTGAAAAACCCATCTGGCGATTCCTCCTCCCCCTGCAGTGCCAGGCTGGGCCCCGTGCAACCTACCTGGCGCTCCCGTCCGGGTGACCCTGAGCAGCGAGGCCCGGGTGGGGCGTGGCAGCACGGCCAACTGGCTCATGCTGCGCGCCTGCCTCAGTCGCCCCTGCCCCGCCCCCGCGGAAGACGCCGCCGCCGCCCTGGCCCCGCTGCCGAGCAGCACCATGCTTTTCGACATGTCCACCCCGCCGCCGTGCACCCGCCTGGAAGGAGGGCCTGCGAGCTCCAGCATGCTCTTGTTCATACTTGGCGAAGCGTGGGGTGCCGGCGGAAGCAGCCTCCTCCGGGGCTGCGCGAGGAGGTCCAGGCGCGACATGCTCACGGCGCGCTGGGCCACACCTGCCGGGGGGGGCGCCGGGCCGCCCGCCGTCGGGGAGCGGGAGCGCGAGGTGGCCGACGTCCCCCGGTTCCACGGAATGACCGGCATCAGGTCCGTCTTGCGCCGGCCCCGGCCGTGCTGACTCGGCAGCGCCGTCATGCTGCGCGTCATCGGGTCGTCTCCTGCGAAGGCGACGTAGTCGTTACCTTTGACGCGGAAGACGAGGGGGAAAGACGAAACACGAGGACGCGGACAAAAGCTGCAACTTGAGAGTCGACTATCTGCTAGTCTGTGCTGATGTTAGACGTACTGAATTCAGGATCGGCTAGTGTCTGCTGACACGAGACATACCGTGTTCGAGCTTATTAGTGTCAAGCGCTTTTAGAGTTTCGACAGTGGTTTGACATGTTTCGACAGTGGTTTGACACATGACAGAAAGAAGCGTGACAAATATGGCACTTGCTCGCATGTTTTTTTTGCATAATAAACAATTCTCGATTTTATTTTCTGATTAGTGGCGCTGCGGACAAAGTTACATTGCTCTCGTTTATACAGTAGGCTCGCAATAATTCAAACTTTGATGTTTCATACTTCTGGTTAATTCAAAGAAATTTCCAAATTTTGTTTGTGCAGCTACGTTTTCAATGTACTTATAAGCCGCTTAATTCGAACGCCGTTTTTGTGCAATTCATACTTTTTGTTCTCACGGCCCCAATGAACATGCTTCTTACCGAGCACCGGTGCACTGCGGAAAAACATACCCGCAGAGCTCGCTTCCGCGGGTGTTGCTTCTCCACGGTGCAGCGGCGCTCGGTAAGAAGCATGCTCAAAAAGCCTAACAGTTCACAATAGAAAACTTTTTTGCTGGATGAACAAACTTAATTTTGTCTTGAAGTGTCTATTAGGTAGTCTATTGTGAACTAAACAGTTCACAATAGACTACGTTTTGGGGGGATGAATAACTTATGTGTTGCCACCCAAGAAAATATCATAATTTTAACTTGTATCATATTTAGGTGAATTTCCTACTAGAGTTTGAATTAATGAGAGCCAAGAAAATTTGAAAGAATTTTTTGAAGTTATTTTAGCATAGGAATAACATGAAAGTTACAACACCTGTCATAAAGAGTTTGTTATGAAAGCAGTGTAATTATGAAAGAAATTGCATATTTAAGTGGCATAATAACAAACTTGCTCCAGTAAGTAACTTGAATTAACAAAACCAACCCTCCACAAAAGTAGTGCAGTTAGTAAGACCCCGGGCCCTAGATGTATCAATCTGGAAACTTGCTGGAAACTAGCCGAAATGCCCTCATAATATTCTGGGAGTTTTGTAACAGGCCCTGTTACAAGTACCAGGAAACCTTTCAGAAATTTGAAGATTAACAATACCCACCAAGCCTGATACAGTCTAGGAAAAGCCTCATACAGTCTAGGAATGATCAGTAATATGTTCATAGTGTATCCCTTACAGGGTGAAACAGTATTTCATTGACGTTAGAGTAACCAGTTTAGCTTGTTTTCTGAGATCACCATTTGTGCCGGTGATAAAGTCTCTTGCCAGCACAAAAATATTCTATCAACTTCGAGTTTTAGTTTATGTAAGGTTTCAGCAAAAAAAAAAAAAAAAAAAAGAAAGCCGTTTACAACTTCCTGTAACGCCGAATTAGAGCGCAGCTCTTGAGGAGGAGGAGGGAAGGGTACTGGGGGGGGTCAAGTGACCTCGGGGAGCGGGGGGGGGTCACGTGACATTGGGGGGTCACGTGACCTAGGAGTCACGGGTCACGTGACGATCATGATGCGGATACCGATGACGACATCAGTGACGTCACTAATGACGTCATCAGTGATGATGATGACGACGCGGATGCCGGTGACGTCATCAGTGACGTCACTGATGACGTCATCAGTGATGATGACGATGACGATGCAGATGCCGGCGATGTCATCAGTGACGTCACTGATGACGTCATCACTGATGATGCCGATGACGATCCGGATGCCGCTGACGTCATCAGTGGCGATGACGTCAACGGGGGGTCACGTGACCTCGGGGTGGTATCCCTAGGTCACGTGACTCCGGGGGGGGGGGGGGGGTCACGTGACCTGGGTAACCCTAGTAACCCTTGTGAGGGCAACTCTCGTGACCCTCGTGAGGGTAACTCTCGTTATTCTCGTAAGGGTAACTCTCATAACCCTCGTGACCCTCGTGAGGGTAACCCTCGTGACCCTCGTGAGGGTAACTCTCGTAACCCTCGTGAGGGTAACCCTCGTGGCCCTCGTGAGGGTAACTCTCGTGACCCTCGTGAGGGTAACTCTCATAACCCTCGTGACCCTCGTGAGGGTAACTCTCATAACCCTCGTAACCCTCGTGAGGGCTATGAGGGTTAGTAACCCTCGTAGCCCTCGTGAGGGTAACCCTCGTGAGATTAACCCTCGTAACCCTTACGAGGGTTACTCGCGGTTACGCCGACGGCGACGCCGCTCAAGCCGGGAACGGGCGTTTAAGAGCTGCGCTCTAATAAAAAGGTAGCTGAAACTGTAGTCACTGCTTCGTCCCGTGGTGGTCATACAATATTTATCCCAAACTAAGCACTCCAAGTTGCTTACATTTTTCCTAGTTTAAGTGCTCCACAAAGGGACAGTCAAGTTTCCAGACCAGTGATACAAGTTGGCTGTGGTTGTTGCGATCAACAATTCACTGCTCTCCTTCAGCATAAGAGAGACAGGTTAAAAAGAAACCACAACTGTTAGTAAAGCAGGTTAGGACACAAGACATGAGCAGTACTATCCTACTATCAAGAGCAGTTTGCTGTTAGAGCAGCCAAGGATGAAGTGTCAGTAAGATTGCAGAGTAAGCACACATATATTGTGTGAACTGCCAGTGACATTTGCAGCCTCCAAACTCATTTGTGATGGAAGTTCCCAGTGTACATTTCGTCCCAATTGCATGTCTAATAGCCAGAAAGAATCGCATGTTTCTCCATCCCTTTAAGTCTGCAAACTCGACTTGCAACTGACCCATATGATGACCACTTCCCATTTATTTCGAGCATCAGTATATGCACAGCATTGAACTATGGTACACCTATCATTCCTACCAGATATACATCACACCATTTTATGCTTAACAATTACAACTGCAGACAGACAAATGAGTCCAGAAACAGGTCAGTAAGCGACATCTTCGACAGTAACTACGTACAACGTTGTGCGGTGCAACACTCGAAGCAGAAGTAGCCTTGGACGACAAAGCAGACTGCGCGATGCAAAGACGTCTTCCAAGGACATTGCGCGGGACAAGGCACTTTTCAAGAGGCTGAAGACTCACACATCCGGCAGCAGAGACAAACGAACGGGCCACAAGGGCACCCCAGAACGCAACTTGACTGCCCGGGCGACCAATCATTTCATTTCCAAGATGCAACCCCACGTTTGGGAAACGCCAAACAGGGCAACTTTGGGAAGCAGAGGTCTGCATGGGCCAACCGCACACTGTTTGGTCTGTCGAGACCACAGGCGTTAAAAATACCGAAGGCAAAAAGCCTTCAACCTAATATGAACTACCATAGACATTAGCTTTCCTAAGACCCATCTAAGCATTATAAAGCACAACTAAAACTAAAACGCCATTTTTAAGGCTCATTATTGCTGACCTTCACAATGAAGTTATACAAAACGGCCACTAAATTATTTAACTTAAATCCAGCCCTTGCCAAAACATACTAAGAGGAGCGAGAGAAAAGATGTGTGAATAGTGAAATGTCAAATTTTTAGCGCTTATTTCAGAGGTTTAAAAAATGTTGATGTAAATTGAAGCAAAAGGAATGTCCATTTTGATATGTAGCGAAGTCACATGAAACTGAATCGGGGGACACTGGACTAAATGGCATGAATGATGTATCGCCGCTATGGGGTGTTCATTGCTTGAACTTCACGAAATAACGTGCAACATGTGACCAGCAGCCCTTCTGTGAATGCAAAGGCCTATTTCTAGCGATTTGTGAGCCAATATGGGTCGTAAATAAAAATATGCTAATCAGCATAATTTGCATCATTCAAAGCTAGAGAAGGCCCTGGCTTATTGCCACTGTAGAACACTTATCTATGAATTGCATGGAAAAGTGGCTCTCAAATTCGCACAGACTGAGGGTCAAATTCCATTTGAAATTGAAGCCCCTAGTGAAGACTGACGAGTTTTTTATGATTCAATAAATTAGATATTTTTAGATTAATAATTAAAAATAAAGGAATAAAATTTGGCCAAGAAAATAGATGCTAAAAAACACACAGTGAAATAAAAAAAATATCCTTAATCTCATTGACCTACCTGCTACCTGTCTTTGAATTAGTAGAGCAAAATTTCACAAATTATTTGGGAGTCTATGGTGACAACCTCTGTGAAAGCGTGTAGCTCCCAAGGAGTGACTGGAATCAAATTTATGATCCACTGCACTATAAATGCTGATGGAAGACTTAAAAATGGTCAATGAAACACCCAACCTACCCTTACAGCAAAAGAAGGAGCGAGGCTTCTCAACTTACACAGAAGGCATTCTGAATCCGAAAAATAAATTTTAAGACAGCCAGCCAACACTCCAAAGAGACTTTTCCTTTTCCCGTGCCACAGAAGAAACAAGTTTGCCAAGTGTTGACGAGTGATTTCAGACCCTTCAAAGGTATATGGATCCAAGAAACTTTTTTCCACCCTCTACGACACTTTCACCTCTTTTCTAGCTTTGGAATTCAAAGTCCCACTTCGTTCCTGTCCGTTACAGTACGAGACTGCGATTCGTGAGTGGTGCTCGGACCCGACAGGTACATCACTACTCAGCTAAAGTTCCACAAAAACAAACTGTTTGTAGTCGATGAGACCTCTAACTAGTCCATAGAAAAGAAACAGAGCCCGCACAGCAAGACCCCACGAACCACCCCCCTCCCCCAAAACCACCTACAGCCTACGAGTGCCCCATGCAGACCTCCACCATCGAAGGAGAATGTTATTCGGAGTTTTGTCCTCCGCAGTCCCAGCCAGGGGCCCAGAGCCGGGCCACGACCCCAGCGAGCGAGCGAGCCAGCTTCGAAGGAAGCAAGACCGGGCGGAGTTTGCAAGCAGAGCACACCCCCTGTAGAGGGACCACACAGCGGCCCTCGCGCTACTTACCGACTGTGACCCCCGACCCCACAAGCCATCCCCCCACGTTTGGGGAAATGAACGCCACCTCGGGCGAGTGCGCCACCCCCAGACACGGGGGGTCGGTTTGAGCCGCGTCTGGAAAAAAGGCACCCGCCCCTCAGAGCTCCAAGGCCACGCTTGGCTCCCCTTGTATACACCCAACTCAACCCCCCGACATCCCGTCACTGCGCCGCTGTGGGCACTGCGGAGACGCTTCGTCTCGCGCGAACCTGGTTTCTGCAAACGTGCAGTGCCACGCCTGGTATGGGCAAGTGTGAGATTGTTTGGAAACGGCGTATTGGCGTATAGCGCTGCAGCTTTGTTTTCGTCCGGCAAGACTGTATTCGTTTATAGCCACGACTTGCAAATCATACGAGGATGCCAGCCTAATCAAATACAGTGGCTCGTTAGGGCTGCTACGACACAAAAGATGTGAAAGGAAGAACTCAAACATGTTCTTAGTGCAAGTCCTTTCTATTCCACTATGAATGTTACGCATTAGAGGAACCTCAACACTCCACAAACAGGCCGCCATCCTTATTGCTTGCAGCCTTGGATTGTCTCAAAACTTTTATCGGAGGGTACTAAAAAATCAGCAAGGCCTACTAATGTTTACATTTTAGGGCCCAAAAGCCAAAGGCTCGATCCCCTCAAGTCACAATTATGTTAACATTGGCTGTTTACTGTACAGCCCTAAAATAGTTTCCTTTGCAGCATTCAGACTTAAGTTCTAAATAAGACCTTGACACATCCTAATACACTGCTTCACATGCTTGTTAGTAAAGCCCTCGCATGATTATAACATTTAAAACATAAAACACAGCTGCCAAGACTACAAAGAATTCCAGGTAGTACAACTGAGTTTCTCAGACAATTTGAGGAACTGGGATTCTGGCATTAAAGCAATGAAGCCTGTAAAGCTGAGAAGCCAGAAGCCATCGGAAAAACCATAGAGCCAGGTTTTGCAGATGCAGAGAGCAAAACTAGGCTTCCAGCATTGTACCGCAAACTAAGTCCCCCCCCCCCCCCCCCCCCCCCCCAATCTTCTTTTTAAAAACAAAAATTCCAGGTTTCAACCAGGATTAATTTAAATTTAGCATTTGCAAACCAGTATGTAAGAAAAGAGCTGATGCAAAGGTCACAAACAAGGTACTTTCCTGTTTCCAGCAACATAGAAGTTAAAATTACAGTTAGCACAACAAAAGCAAAACAAGCAAAATTATGCGTTACTGAAATACCTTACTCTAATATCTTCACTGTCAACTGGAAAAAACAAATGGTCTGCAATGTATGTTTAATTTAGAAACAAACAAGAAATAGAAGATAATTTTTCAAATCAAACAGGTAGAAATGCCCAGCACAAACCCGAAGCGAAAAATATAGCAATAGCAGCAACCAAGCTTAAGTCTTTGGTTAATATTTCACCACACATCTAAAGGACACGCTGAATCTCCAGAGATCATGTTTCTCAAATCGAAAATTACCAGCAACAATGCCTCACATACGCATCCACACATTTCGGGAACAGAATCCCCAGTCTGCAACAAGCACCCAAAAAATAGCTGGTAGCCGAATTTCTGTGCAAACAACGTCGAGGAGCGGTCTTGGCACATAATGCCTTCACTCCCAACACCCAGCAAGAGCGAGTCCAATCTAAATGTAGTGGTGACCTTTGTTAGGCACCGGAGTTGAGTATGAGAAGATACGTCGGCCTCCGCGGTGTCCGAAGTTCTCTGCCCCCTCCCTCTTTCTGTCGATATAAAATGCTTCATTCCCCTACGAGGTGAAAATGGCAGCTAGGTCCTTCAATTGTGCCGCCTCCGGTGCGTGTTCCCCGACTTGGATGACGCTTTGATGCTCTTCGGCCTCAAACGTGCATGCGCGCCCAAAGCCCGTCGGAAGGCAACGAGCGTGGGCTGTAGGCCGAGCATTTGAGAGAGATGGCGTTCTCGTCCTGCGAGTGACGTTCGTACAATCTATACAGGCTACAACACCTGCCTAAGGTAACACCAACAGTCCATTCCCAGGAGACTCGATGCAGGTAGAGACGCTCAATGAGCAGAGTGTTGGCACTCCGTTCCCCGACTGTCTCGCAAGCGCCGCCATTTTGGTGCTCGGCGCAGATGCGGGTGAAACCGGCGAACGCTACGATTCTGAAGTGCGACATCCCGAGCTTCAGACACGGCGTCGGGAAACTAGGGCGATGTCGTCTTGCTCCATTGCGAACCGTTTTATCATTTCTGGAGGATGAAAAGCAGCTTATACCGCGGTATCGAATGAAGCCTCGGAAAGCTGAAAAGAATGATTTTAACCGTCTAGACAGTCGAAGTGTCGTTACTCCGGAAGCACAGCTTAAGACTGGCTTACACGCTCATGTTTGCTTACGACTGAGTTTTCGCAATCTCTTACGACGAAGAGAATGTGCCGGCATGCTGGCGCCACCTACGAGGGGGTCTCGGAACTGCATTTCACTAGAGCTAAGGTTTTGCAGTATTTGCGAGATCCAATGTACACGTTACCTATGAGAAATGGCTGTTCACAACATTGTCAAAAGCTTTTGGAGGCAATAAAGAAAGAATGGTGCGCGAGAAAGTGTAAGAAATAGTGTACGGAAATCCTGAGTGTTCCACGGTTACCCGATGGGTGGTGCCGCTGCTTCTCTCGTCGTAAGAGGTCACAAGGAGCTCGGTCGTAAGCGGTGGCAAGTGTACACACTGGTTTTCCTTTAGTGGCTCCAGGGAAAGGTATAGAGAATGGAGGTAAGAAGCCTCTGGAGGCGACATGGCGCCAACAGAGCTGAAGCCAGAAGTGTGGAAGGCGACTAAAACAGTTGTTGAGTCAGCTCATCTTTTCGTCCAATGGTCTCTTGGTTTTGGCCATCGTTGGGAGAGTGTTCCTCCACACTTCTGGCTTCGCCTCTGGTGGCACCATGTCTCCTCCAGAGGCTTGCTACCTCCACGGTATCGAGTCTGGTGGCAAACAAAGCCGAGAGGTAGCGAGGTGGGCTCACCTGCAGCCTGGCAGAGGTTGTAAGCCGAGGCGGCCCGCTTGCGGCTGCTCTCAAAGTCAGTCTCGTCCGCCTTGCGCGGGGAAGGGGCCGACATGAGTACGGGCGCCCCCGCCGACCCCATGGTGGCTAGGTCCAGGTCGAAAGTTCTCGGGGTGGAGCTCCCGAAGGCAAAGCTCATGCTCATGCGGTTGGCATTCCGCCGGGCCTCCAGCTTGCACTCCCGCTCCATGTTACGCTTCAGCAGGGCCTCCTTGCGTTCCTGGACGGGTTGAAGGGGCAGGGCGGCGGTCACCGCGGGGAGCCTGTTCCGCTCACCGACGGTTCTCGACCGTGCCTTCGAAATTTGGACGTAAATTCGACGACCTAATGATTTTACGGCGTAAACGTTACAAAAGTCACTTAAAAGGCGCCGTGTACACTGCGCAATGCTGTTGGCGTGAACGCAACGTTGGCACTTTTCTTGCAGATTATTTCAGAAAAGTATCAATGGGCTTCATATTTTGCCGCTCAGGTTAGATCTACACTTTCCTCCATACTAGTAGTTTTGGTGACAGCCTCTCCAATTTCGAACAAAAACATAAAAGAACCAGCTATTGCTTGTTCACGCTAGCAATGTTGTGCAGTAAACATTGTAAATATAAACACTGAGCAGAAAGAAAAAACAATCTCTAACCTTTCTTCTTCTTCTGAGCCCTCTGGCCTAACTAACTACGTCCAACTTATAGCAGCTCCACCTGCCCCTAGCTCTTACAAAAACAAAGACTTTGAATGCTTTTTGTGTCAAATTTTCACCTTTCAAGAAATACTCCGGTATTCTCTCTCTTGCACAGCCCTACCCGTAAAATTGTCCTCTTTACTTGGCTCGTCGTGCTCACAAAACCGCATCAACGCCTAGTTCCAAAACTCCCGTTTATGGCCGAAAGGCATACGAAGTCAACGAGCTCACTGGCATCCCGGCGGGTTGTTCTCCAAGATCCACGTGTTTCGAATACGATAATTCAAACTTCTCCTTCTATTCCCAGCTGGTCCTCGAGTGTTTTTGCACAAGTGGAGCCCCCGAGACTCCAATGTCTAAACTGTGTACCCACATCTAAAAAAAAAAAAGCAAGTTCTGGCAAACAAAGCTTTTAGGGGTAAAACTGGATTCACCTATTGTAACCGAACGTGTTGCTGGAAGATGCTCCAAGTGACCCCAGCTTTGCATGCAACGAGCGGTGTCAAAATTGGAAAATTCATAAGCTTTCCACATCAAAGGTTTGAACAAACAACAAAAGGAACGGGCAATACCTAGAAGACAAGGCCCGCGCACGACCTTGTCGTTAGCCGATCTCCGACCCACCCCAAGCAGCAGACACGCTGAAGTTCGACGAAAGAATCTGCAAGACGTGCCTGCGGCGACGCCGACGCAAGCTAGTTGGCACTGCGTGAATTCACTAGTGGCGACGTTTGGGGGGGGGGGGGGGGGGGGGGGATGGCGTGGGCCATGTCTTGCAGGTAGTATTGAGGCAGGACCCCAGAGGAGCGAGAAGGGCCAGCAGGGAGACACCCACATGCTCGGCCTCCCAGATGAGGCGCTTGCGCTCTTCCACCTGTTGCCGCCGCTCGTGGTCCCGCACGCGCAGCTCCTCAATGCGCCGGCGTCGCTCCACCTCCTGCTGCTCCCGGTAGTGCTGGGAGGCCTGCGAGTGCTGCTCCAGCTCCTGCAGCCTCCTCGCCCTCTCCTCCTCTTGCCGCTCCTTCACTAGACGCAGCCGCTCCTCCCGCGACACCTGCTGCTGTTGCTGACAGGCGGCATCCCCAGCTTCGCAGTCGTGGTTGCCCAGAGTCCGATCTGGAACGCCACAGTCGCGCTCGCTCACTCTTTGCATTCACTCCCTTGCAATCTGCTGCTCACACTTTTGGCTGCTTTTCAAGGGCCTCACACATGTGCGCACTTGCGAGGCACTCGTGCATATGTATGTGGCACTTTACGCATGTTGTATACGGCACTTGGAGATGCCGAGCACTGTCTCCCGGCGGAAGTGCCGGACATTCACAATTTTTTATCTATGGAAGTGAAAGGAGACGGGCCTTATTACTAGGTGCTGTATATTTACTCAACAAAATGATGCTGCAGGGCCTCCCCAATTCAGTCTAATCATCTCTTTCCTCCTCTCTACACAAGCACGTGAAACGGGACAGTACTAGTCATTATGGCATTTTAAAGCCTTTATATAACCCTTGCTGGTTCATTAGCTGTTCCAATGGCCCTTAGTAGTGCAGAGGTTCCCATTTCTAGTACTAAAGCCTTCCACGGACTGAAGATTTGCAAAGCCCCGAAGGTGCTATATGCCTTGGATGTTGTGCACTAGTATGTTTGCTCTGCCTCTCTTTATATGAACTGCAGCAAAGGCTAGAAGTGTGAGTGCCCTGCCCTGCCCTGAAATGCGCCTTGGCCACATGAACGTTCAAAGAGAGAAAGTACCGTCCAAAGCTACCCGCTCATGCTTGTAACCTTTGCAGTGGTCCGCATCCAGGAAGGACAAACTAATATGTCATTTAAGTTCTTTACATCTTTACACTTTGCAACTAGCAGTATAAAACACATAAATTAATCATAAGCGTAATGTTTCCTTATGACTGATCTGTCTTTATCTCCCGATGTCAGGACCATGCAACGATATGCAGTCCATTAGATTTTGAAGTTCTTGAATTCACTTTTATAGTTTACTGCAGAATAATGTACATGAAAGGGAGCATATGTTTTGACAGCAGGGCCAGGCTGCAATGCACTGTTTCTGTTCAGGCCCTTTTCTTGATGCTGCAGATACTCTCAAGTTGCACATGAGGTTATATGTAAAAGACACCCAGCCTGAACTCATGAAATGAAATGTCACATACCCTTTCAATAGATTATCATGTCAGTTCTGTTTTTATATGCAATGCAAAAGCTTTAATTACACTTAACAGGAGCATATAATAGGTATATTCCTGCCTAATTTTACCCTTTTCTATGCATGCCAGTAAGGTTTTCCATTTGTGCTACATTTTGTACCCCCTCTGCACCCTTTTTAATTCACATTGTGCCTTTGCTATGTGCTTCGATTAAATTTAAACAGAACTGTGCACATACCAATCAGTTTGCCTACAGAGAAAGATATTTCTATGCAAATCAATATAGATGTATATTATCTCACACTACATGTATGATGGGAAATTGGTGGCTACTCCAGAAGAAGCTCTCCAAAGGCAATTAGTCAGGAGCTACTCAGTCACCTTTTCAGAATTTCACAAAATACCAAGGAACTACAAGCACACAGAGAACTAAAGTAGCACAATCCTACCTGGAGATAGCCTACGCTCAGTGCCATCCTCATTTGGTGCATCTCCGCCAGCGTGAGCAAACCAGTAAGTGTCTGGTGCAGAGAAATGGAAGCAAGAAAAAAGGAAAGCGCTAAAAAAAGTCAGCAGTATGCAACAGCATAAGAGGGAACCCATGTGCCTTGTGGTACCAAACGCTTTCTCCTCGCTAAAATTTTCAACCAGTCCGGTCCAACTTCTGATCAAGCAGTCAAACTAAGCTTGACAGTGACTGGCCCCAGAAATACCCAGTATGTTCCATACAAAAAAAACAAATTACCATAAAGCACATGTGGCACCATGTAATACATGATTTTACAACAAATATAAAAAAGCAGGATGAGATAATAAGGCGAAACAAAAACAATACTGAGATCATGCCAGTTGTAGAATAAAAATGCAAAGGCAAATAAGGCATACTAAGTCAAAAGCATTATTACGTCAAACATATGATACAATCAAGCAGTGCATGCCAGTGCAGCTCGTGTCAGCAAAACAACTGCAATGCAAAAAAGTGGTGCAAAAATGTAAGCAGAAAGATGTGCTATGATGTGCACAAAAAAGCTTATAGCAATGACAAAAAAACGCAAAAAACACAGTGGGCTGTAAAAATCAAATTACCTAAATTACTTAGCTATCGAAAATGTGAAGATTCAGTCGCATATTTTAAAAGTCCAGTATTAAAAATGTAATATTGTACCTCTGCAGTGAAAAAAGCAGCCAGTATACAGGATGTTTTTTAGTTCTGGGATGTCCTAATATCAGAGCTTTAGAAACTTACCTCATGAGCCAGAAAACCAACTCTGAATAAAAACACGTCAACCGTAACAAAATTTTGATAACCACAGTGTCTACACAGAGTATTCAAAGAGGCAATCCACTACCAGACACAATGCACAGCTTCATCTAAGGGGACTATGGCAGTATGCATGCACTTTAATAGACACTGCCAGAACAATACAATCTAAAGGGTCAACAGACACTACATTGAATTACTGCAACCACTGCTGCAAGGTGCAACCACCATCCTTACAAAGACAAGGCTCATTGACCTGAAGGTAACATCACTTCCAGTGGCATGCTACAGGCACTTGAAGCGAGTCTTCCTCTGGTTTCATCTTATATTACCCCTTCTTGCGGCTTTCATGCTCATGCTCATTAGGATTGCAAGATGCCGGTTCACTTCACACAAGTGCCGTCAGGTACAAAAGTAACAAATGCTTCCGATTTCCTTAGCACCATTTTAACAATTTAGTCCCAAACAACTTGTTCCTGAGATGAAAGACTAAGAAAAAAGGGCATATACTGATAGAAACATTATACAAGATAGCAATTTGCATGATCTGAAGATAGGCATTGACTTGTGCTTTAATTTGAAGTTAGGGCATTTGCTCGATGATTTAGGAGTGCCAATGGGCAATTAGAGATACAGAATTTCTAACACAACTATGTGCAAAGGTAAGTTCCAAGGCAGAAAAGCCAGTTCATTTCTATAAAAAATGTTCTTTACACTTTACAGAGGTTGCATCCAAAGAAACAGGACACAGTGATACCCAGATCCCATGCTTATCAGAAACTAAGTGCTGAACAAGAAGACTTCACTAGAAACTGCAGCCCCTTGTCCCAAAGTCCCCTTTTAATGGAGACTGATATGCAGGTCAAAGAGGTTTTACAGCCACTGCACTGTCTCACAGGAACAGATAAGTCCCTGCTTCACAAAAAAAATATAAAAAAGTACCTCCCATCGCCTGCCCTCTAGGCCTCCCCGCCACAAAAATAAAGTTGCCAAATACAATGCCATTTCCTTGCATGCGCCTCAACATGTCTGGCAAGACTGTCTCCAGTATGATGTTGCTGCACATCCCTCTAACCATCAAGCCCTGCCGTTTAAGGACCAGCTTTAATTTCAAGGTCACCCCAAGCTCAGAAGCATTCGTCACCCCTACCCCGACCTGGGAGTGGCCACAGTGAACCTTGCAGCAGGCAAGGCAGCCGTGCCTGAACCGACGAACGTACCTAGAGGGGAGCATGGAGACTCTTTCTGCGAGCCCCTTGCACTGTCGAGCTCCTGCTCTGGACTTGCTAGTTCGTCTACCTGCTGGGCCCAGAGGCCTCGCCTCTGCCGTTCCGCCGGAGGATCCGCAGCGTACGCAAACCAGTACATGTCTGGGCAGCACCCACCACCCTGGCCATGTCACCAGCCGACACCAAACCACTCGCGCCACCAAGCAGCTTCAGAACACAACCAACATATTTTCCGGACTAGTATAGACGCTTTTCAGCAGCTGTGCATATGCGCTGCCATAACCGACCTTCACTTTTTCTTCCATCTTGCTCCGGTCAATTCACTTTAATCGCTACGGTAACAGGACAGCTTATTGCCTTTTTAAACGGTGCAGTGTCCCTATATTTACACTGACTTTTGTGCAGGCTCGTCACTGCCCGCGTCAATAACTCGGCACTTCAGTAAAAGAAGAGAAGGTAAGCAATGATGGCTCGAATCTGGCACGTGCGTAAGGCATCTATACAATTTGTTTTTTCAAGGTTGTTCAATATGATGAGAGACGACGGATTTTGTGAACGACACATCATATTAATGATAATTTATTTATAATAAAAGCTCCTTTGTGCACTAATAAAGCAGGCATTTTTAAAAACATGCTATGCAGACTATCTAAGGAAATACTCCCTTTTTCTGCAGAAATTCGCTCCTGCGAGCTGTACTCAGCGGACCATGGCCCAGACAATAAGTTAATTTGAAGTTCCGTAGTCTGATGTCCAAAATCAATGTTGTAGAGAAAAACCTGACAATGGGCACTAATGGTTTGCTAAGAACCTTTTACTTCTGCCGCATGGGAATGACAACTAAGCAGAGGCCGTTCAGGTAACTGGTGTGATTCTGGCTCATGCCATATGCAGCATGCACCGGTATGCTAACTACACCGATCTCAAAGGCCCCTGAAAAATGTCTGTATGACGTAGCCGTTACCTTTTCATTTAGCTTCTAGAAAGACTAGATTGCTTACAGAAATGTTATTTCTCTGTTTCAAGGCATAGCATGCATCTCTTATTTCTATTCACCGCCACAAACTCTGAATTTTTGGGGGAGATTCTCGGATGTGTATCGTATATCGAAAAATAGTTCTGCACACCTCCCTCTCTGAATAGTCGAGAAAAAAAAAAAGGTCTAGTAGTAAAACTCATAATAATGAAGGGATTTCATGAGTACTGCAGGTAACCCTCAGTATGTGCTTGAACCCTCAATATGAAATGCTGGTTGCACATTTTGTTTCCTATAACACAACGATCCATTTCCGTTACTCTTTATGGTGCAGAGGTTGAGTCCGGTATGCAACTTTTCTTGCACTTAGGAAGAGATGGAAAGATACAAAGTGGTCCAGAAGCTGCTTGGTGGCTCTAATTTGGCATGCAATATGATAAAAAACACAGCAATTTATATGTTTTGTTACCAAGACGAAAGGGCACGAAAACAGGTCACGAAGTTGGCAAAGACGTGAGCCCTAAGTAACAATACAATGAGACACAACTTGTTGGGACTTCTGGTGGACAGAGAACTGTTTGTTGCACTTGACGCATTAACAAACAGAAAACATGGAAATGTGTCAAGCAGAACTCTGCTGCGTGTCTGAAAACTAAAACAGTATGAGCACAATGCAGCGCCGCTCCTCACCTTGTTTTGGAGATTTCTGTGCCATGGGGGAGCTACATGGTGTTTTCTTTCCTATGTGTTTTGAATCTGTAAATAGAAAGAAAGAAGAGTGCAACGTTATAGATCTGAAACCTGCACAGACAAAGAGAACTCAAAACTCATAATTTTAGAAGATTAATGAGATATGTAGGAGCAATGACAAAATGTGATTAATTTCCCGTGATCTTCAGGATGCAGAGCCATGGCTATGATAAGTTCCAGTGACACATCGTATGCACTGTTCTTTCATTGTGCCTCAAAAATGAAGCCTGACATCCCCTCAAATTCTTTTTTTTTTTTTTTTTTCATTTTTTGTTAGGCGATTTATTATTGTGTTGGAATACTACCCAATTAATATTTTGCTACAGAGTCATGTATTTCTTTAATAAAGCTGAAAAACGCAACTGCTCGAAACCGAAACCCCCGCATTGTACGGAGAAGTGGAGAGGAGAGAGTGAGTGGCGGAAGTCACGTGGCTACACCCGACCGTGCAATTTCGTTTTCCCGCATGTAGTAGACAAAATGCGTTGCGGGATCCGTTTGCCGTGCAATTCCTTTGCAGTTATGTTAGTTCCTCTCGCTGTTCTGTACTTCAAAATGAGTTGTTTTGTACATTTAAGTGTTGGCAATTAGTAGTGAGTGCCCGTGGTGAATTCCCGAGATCGGCTCCAAAAAAAATACTGCCAAGATGTTGCATGAAGAGCTGCCTCACATGTCCTGCATCTGAAAGTGGCATTTTGTGGCAGAGGTGTCAAAAATGGAACACCATACCATTTAGTTCAGCGATGTATCGTCCACTACAATTGTTTTTTTCAGTGATAAGTGTAAAAAAAAAAAAGAAGAAATGTAAACATTGCAAAATGTTTGGAAAAAAAAATGGTACACCCACATTAGTGATCGATCCCATTACCGCTGCGTGTGAAGCGGACAACTTTCCACTGAGCTACTGAAGGAACTCTTTCGTTCGTAGTAATGCAGCCGGTCGACTGTATGCCAGAAAGCTTGCAGCCGATTTCTCTCTGGTACACGCACTCCCGTCTTGGAGTCGGGCAGCACCATGCATTGGCCACATTCGCACCTAGCAAAGAAAACACGTGTGCGTATTCAACTCGAAGTATGCACTTCGTGCTTGACGTTTGAGCGAGCGACGTCTTCAGCCACGAGAAGGGACGACAGCTCGGCGACGTCTTCGTGCAATCGGCTTGCTGGTCGGGCGTGTCGTACGGGATGAATATCAATTCTTTTGATCGGTCCAGAATTTCTCTTTCGAAGGAAGACAGAATTTGCCGGTACCGTGAACGACAATTATGAAGTAGAGGTCCCACGCCCGTCGTCTGTCCACTGCTACCCACTAGTGCCACGAAACGCAAAACACCGCCATGTTGAGAATTATGCCATTATGCAGTGAACGCACAAAATGCTTCTGGTTGTCTGTGCATTTTTTTTTTTTTTTCAATCAATGTATTTGCAGCTTTTTGGAAGCCACAAAAAATGGATTTCATATTTTTCTATTTTTAGTAGTGACTGTGTGCCTTCAATGACCCCACGACTTTGATTAAATTTGGTGGTCGTGTTTTAAACTTAGAAAACTGCCTGTGACAACGAAAAGAGTGAGCGAGACTCAAACAGGCCAGTTCTCGATTGGCGGTTTTCGGGCGGAAAGAAACCGAATTTTGAGCCGCAAATTCTCTTCTGGGTAGTTTGGCTCTCGTATGTCACGTACAACTAAAAACTTCGGTGAGCATAAATACCCTGTCAGTGTCCCTTTAAGCACCTTTTATTGAGAGAATGACGAATTCCGTGTCTTGCTCGAGCATAATTTTTATTTCCCCGTGGCAGTTCTGTGGTATTATTTTCGCGTGTTCTTTTTCTCTGTTTCTGAACCACAGCTTTTCCTCTCTCCTCTCTTTCTCCCTCCCCCCCACCCCTTCCTCGTCAAACAATGCCCGAAGGGCAAAAAGCGCTAAGCAAATAACTAAACAAACAAAAAAACCCAGGAACCAGTCACTTTCATTGTCGTTTCAGTGTCTTTTTAGATTAATTTGGCATTGCATATCACACCAAGAACACTTCCCGGAGAACAAAAGAACTATTTCAAGGAGAAGGGCACCGTGACTGCCTGAACCGAAAAAATTTCCCCCGAGGCAGACAGAAAGCAAACCTCTGCACAGGACATGTTGCTCGCACACAAACACACAGACACTAGAAAAATGAGAAGGAAGAGGGGTAGGGTAAGGGAGCAAAAATTATTCCGGTCCCAGTTTGTTCAATGACCTCGTTGGATCACCAAAGCCGTCATCAAGCCGCGATCTAAGAGGCCGACGGGCCGACGACGACGCCTCAGGGAGACGGTTTCCGATTCATGCGCGAACATCAGTCTCCTCTCGTCCTATTATTATTAACAGTCATACTTAGAAAAAAAACAAAATAAAACAACCCCCCCCCCCCCCCCCCCCCCCCCTTCGCCGATGCCTTTTTTTGTCCTGCGGGAGACGGAGTCGGGTAGCCGCGACGGGCGCGACGCCTCACCCCAAGTCAAACCTCCAAACATGGTAGCGTTCGCCGGTCGGCACAGAAGGCGTCAATCAACGGCGCTCCATTAAAAAGAAAAAAAGAATCAACAAAAACCGCACGCACTGACAGAGTGACAATGAGGAGGAACGGAAAGGGGAAGCTCACAGAGTAGCTAGTGCAGCGTGCGTACAAACACACACGCCCGCAAAAAAAGTAAAACTTCATTTTGTGGCGGTAGGAAGGAATTCCTTCGGCGTACGAAGCGCAGCAACGACGGGGGCCTCAGCCCCGCCGCTGCAACACAAATAGCGGCCCGATTCGGGGTCGTGAGAACCGAAGCGGATTCCGCAAACATCGACGTCCGGGCCACGTTTATCACTCGCATCAGTCGCCACTCGCGCCGAAAAACTCACAATAAAAACAAAAACAAGGAAAAAAAAAAAAGCCTTGTAGACCATTTTAATAGAACCCTTTTAGTAGTTATGATTACAATGCAATTAAAGGCAAAGGTGCAAGCGAGCTGGACAAGAATGACGATCGTCGCCTTTCGATAGACTGCCCTTTGTTGGCAGCTGTGGAAACCCTTCACAATGGCTGACTAAAGCCGCAACATCACGGCACACTTTATGCCGAAAGTAAACCCTGGAGAAGGGGAACATGTTCCCCTTCTCCAGGGTTTACTTTCGTCATTCTTGTCCAGCTCGCTTGCACCTTTGCATTTAATTGCATTATAATTATACACTTTATGCATTAAGTTAAACTAGAAAGTAAAAGCACCTCCCCCCCCCCCCCCCCCCCCAAAAAAAAAAAAAAGAAAAAAGAAAGGGGGTGATGACCACAGTGACGTTGCACTTTCAACGCCATTTGATTGGCTCGTAAGCTCCTAGCGTTGGTCGCGCAAGTGACTTTTGACGCTGCTCGATTGGTCCGATTAGTTCGTAGCGTCGGCTGCGTCTCTGAAACTACCAGGGAAACCCTGCTCGTGACTTGTCCGGGGTTACAAAACTGGGAAAGGGACAACGCCGAGGAAACCGACGCGAAAATAGACTAGCCAGATTGCGCGTTACGTTTAAATGTTACCTCGATCCTCGTCTCGGTACTGACTAAGAAAAACTCCCGAGTCAGCATGCACATATTATATTATTTATTTTTTTCGAGCTCAGAGAAAGCAACGCGATTGTTTTCCGGAAGGAAAATTGGCCATGATTTGCAAAGAATTGTGCGAAATTCTGTCGGAAACTTCTCCGAGGAAGCTATTTGAGAAGGTGTGTGCGCAGTTCGTTCTTTTATTTGTTCCCAGTCTCGGGTTTATCGATATGGAAAATATTGGCCTCGAGATCAACCTAGAGGTGGCGCTACGGTCGCGCTATCATCATCATCAAAGCGGGGATAGGAGAACGGCCGCCCCATAGGCTCTCCACGTTCGCGCGCGAGACGGCGTATATTCTTGCGTTTATTTTGTCGCATACTATCGGTGGGAAAACAATTATAGCGGAAAAGGATGCAGTACTGTTCGGTGCTTCGGTGAAGATCGAATCGTGTTGCCAAAGTGCGGCCTAAATTTATATAATCGCTTCTGAGGGCGCGTCGTCTGCTCTGGGCAGACGTTGAAAAGCATGGTTCACCACGACTGATGCCTGTCTCCGCCTGAACTGGAATATTTAGGTTAAATATTTGTTTCTTCTAAAATGGATGTATCGGTTCATCAACGTGGCAATTAAAAAAAAACAATAAATTCCAACCCAGATAACACAATACTGGTACTGTGAGCTGAGAAATCAAAGCTTGTATGCTTTTTTTTTTTAACTTCTAGCTTTTGCAGTAATATAAATATTTAGAATGAAGATAAGTTAGCACTGTATTGGAAATTACCATGCTATTGAGTTCCTCTGCCCTTTTACTGTGCCGTAGTGTAGGTAACATTCCTGGAGTCTGAACAAATCTACTGCGTTGCGATGAGGAGAGAGTGTCTCTTCTTGGTAAAATCTGCAAACTGCACGGTTGGCAGGACAACTGAAACAAGTGAAACAAGCTGTTCTAATATATCTGCCATGACTGTAATAAACGGGTGTAACCGAGCAACGCAGCAATGTTCCTGTTATGAAATGCTTTTCTCGGTAGTTTGGGTTCACCCGCTTCAATTTTCTTGGTGAGGGCCGCGGATGTCAAGAGGCTCATACTATAAATTCCTGGCTAAATAATCTTGTATTCAAACACAGTAGACTCTGCAACCCCAACAAACGACGCGCACCACGACACAGACAGCATCGGCCGCAGTGATACTCTTTGACTGATGAGGGCTAGTGACCTTTACGAGACTTTCCAATCACCCTCCGCCCTCAGGATATCGGGACTGGACAGTTCATCGATTAACTTTCAGATTATTCAAGTAATGCTTTAATTGCAATTTCGTTTTGCCGGTTAATTGGAGTCTTGTGCTGAAAAAGTCAACAAGGAGTAAAAAATGCCTGCTTTAATATTTTTGACATTTTCATTTCTTTTGTGACACTGGCTTGCACGGTAAACCACTTCAG